ATGTTCTTCGTCATATTACTATACATGTTATTGCACAATATGGTCTCTTACTCCTTAGTATGGGTTTTAGCTCTAGTATGAACTAGCTGTTTCCTGCGACTCCAGTTGCCCAGAATTAAATAAAAACTTAATTAGTGGCGTTTGTGTAGCAGACTATGTTCTACATCTATGCCAAACAGCGTGATCCATGCAATTGTTCTGAAGATACTTTTTAACAAACATCCATCCATCCAAACTTTCGTAGTCATAATATTGCGATAGTTAAAGTTACAATTAAGTTTGTAATCAGACTATGTAGAATGTATATTAATAATTTATTACGTCAAATCTTGATAGAGCAATTTATAGGATTAAGTAAAGCCGCGATTCCACGATCATTGTTTCCGTGTCGATGAAAAGGGAGGGTTCACGCGTTGTCTACCGCAGACACATGTGGAAACGTACTTTATGCAAGCAGGCGGGCGCATTCAACCCGTGTAATGACTCGGCAAATTGTCCATTTGAATAACAATCGAATGAGCCGCGAGCTATGTAAACCGATATTATACTATATAAGCAATGCATGATCATATTAATGCCTATGGTATGCGAACTTGGGAGTATCTCCTGCCGCAGCTGCTCAGCGATCTGTAAAGCGCCGTGCTTGAACAAATCGTTAAGAAACCAGAAAAATGTAAAAGAATTTTGAAATCGGCACTTTTAAATAAATAACTTATGTTTATTGCAAATTAAAAATCAATTGTTTTATATATCTATAATATTTTTTGTCTTTCTATTTTGGTCTTAAAACCGTTTAATCTCTGTTCTTTTTGTTTAATATAATTGTGAAATTGTTAATAACGTCTGCATTTGTTAATTTGCTGATCTTATAAATTAATAAGCGACCAGTAAGTACATCCTGTGGGTTTTAGTACTGCTGTCTAACAGATATCTAATTTGTTATGTAAAGATGAAGATTTTGTATAATAAAATATATATATATATATTCAGGGGTATGGTGTGATAACATTGTATTAAGCATGTAGTTAGTCTTCGTTTTGTCAAAGAGAATTAGGGATAATATAATTGTATTACCACAATGGAAACTCAACGTTACGTGTTACAAAGTATATTATTAAAAACTCTTTTATGGTTTATGAAACGAAAAAAAACCGATTCTCCGTCCTACCGTTCGTCTTTCAATTTACCGTAAACCTCCTATAAAAACACTGCTGATAAAAATCTCAATAAGCGATTTCTTTTACTAAGAATTTATAAACGAACCCTTTGAATAGCAAGGTATTTTGTTTATATCGCTTTAGTTTTCTAGAGCTACTTTATGTTACATACATGTTGAGGCTATATTTTATACATAACTAACTGAACCGGCAAACTTTAGTAGGTATCGCCCGCGAATCCGTCCGCACAGAAGTAAAGAATGTTAATAGCCAATGTGTTCTTCCAGACTATATTCTACATCATTGCCAAATTCTAGCGTGATCCTTGCAGCTATTTTGGAGATACCTTCAAACAAACATCCATCCATACAATCGCATCAACATACTGAAATATAAATTAATTTTAATCACTTAAAATCTAGACAATTGCTTTAATATATACTTTATTCAACCGTGTTAGGTATTGTCGTGTTTCTTATCCTTTAGATCTGTTCGTAGTTATTCCATTCTCGTCGGCCGGGCTCGTCGGGGACGCGAATTCAATTTGACGTTATTTACGCCGCTCTGATATCGCGTAGGCTGGGCTTTGAGACGACGGTACTATTTTATACACTTTATACTCGCCCTTGTTTTCCAATGGAATTTTTAGTTTGTTAGATTTAGGAATCTGAAAAGAAAGAATGGGATAGGTCAAAAATATCTATGAAAGTTAAGATCATTCTTTCGTACTTTTAAGCAAATCAAAATGTTTATCTATGTGTTATGATTATGTAATAAACTAATATAGCTATTTACATTAAGAAATAAATTATTAACCGTGGGTTTCTGATACCAAAATCCCCGTGTGAAACTTGTTATCGCTGTTTTGCCAAAGACAATGACAGGGATGACGACATGTTTTATATAGAGAATTTAGTCTCAGATATCCACTGTAATATAAAGAAAATATTAGGAACATAAGAAACATTTCTTCTTTTCTAAAATTAAAATGATTAGTATATTAGTAGATGTAGATATATTTTACCTAAGTAGTAGCGATACGTGAAGCAATCGCGTTAGTACACCACGTTGCCATGGCAACCGGCTTTATCTCCGACACAGATGTGCAAGGCGTGCATTGCTCATGGCGTAATTGGAATGTGAATTCATTCGATATAGTTGAAACTAACTGAATATCTAATAAATTGAATTATCATTTTATATATGCTGTTACAATCAGACATACAGAATTACACTATATTCATGGATTTCTGAGACCAATAACTCCCCGTTTATAACATGTTTTTATCTCAGTTTTGTCCAAGACAATGTCATGGATTTTTGTCTCGGAAACCCACAGTATATGGTACAAATTCAATTTTTTGTCTTTTAAAACAAATTAAATAATTTTAAACACGACATTTTATTTCAGTTCTTCTCACACTCGAATTCATTGCGAGCTATTTAAATAATAAAAAAAAACACCTTTGAAACAAGATATATTTATTTTCTGCATCGGCTATCTACATTTAAATATTCGAAAGTATTACGTAACATTTTATCGACTCTTACTCAACGCCCCGTTTTTTATTTCCCTCGAGCAAAAGTACGCTTTATTTTCTTCCCTAAATCCGTTTTCACAAGTGTTGATCTTCACAATTTATTTTCATTGCGTCAAGAATTTATGTAGCTGCCGCTTTATGTGAAGCCATCATACTTTATGTACTCCGCAAAGTTATAGCAAATTGAGTGCAATTATATAGCTTATAACGATAACTCTGTGTTCATAAAATAAGTATACTTCATTCTCATCTAATTTTAGACCAACCACATTTTATAATTAAAATTAAAGCGTCAATAGCCTAATGGTTAAGGGTACGGATTTCCGATCACGAGGTCGGGGGTTCGAATCTCGCCTTTCGACTATTGTCGTAAACCTAGCACAAGCCAAGAGCTTAGTTGGAATGGTAAAAGAAATATTAGTAAATTTACAAAAAAATCTGCTAATATGTAAAAAAAATATTCGTAAGACACAGGACTCTTACCATTATTAAGTAGTTAGAGTTCCCGATGTTTTGGAACAATTGATCATGGCGCATGCATGTGCGGAAATATCGGACGTTAAACAACCTAAAAGGGTTAAAAATCCGGCTAAAAAATATTTTAGTAAAAACCACGAAAGTCTATAATTATAAACCACGTTTTGTTCAACAAGTTAACACAGAACATATAATTCTTATATCTTACTAATATTATAAATGCGAAAGTTTAAATGGATGTTTGTTTTAAGTTATCTACAGAACGGCTGCATAGATCTCGCTGATATTTGGCATGGATGTAGAATTATTGTCTGGAAGAATACATAGGCTACTAGTTAAGTTTTTTTTAAATACCATGCAGATGGAGTCGCGGGCGACAGCTAGTGTATAATAATTATCGTATTTCATTTGTAGCACGCTCACTATTATTAGATGAATGTGTTTATTCATTTAATACATCAAAGAGTGCGTTATTAGAACGATAACCTAATGATGCTCGTAGATAAATAAAGTAATAAGGCGTTCTATTGATCAACATATTAAGTATTGATAAGTGTAACTTAAACATCAAAGTCTAACTTAAACATTACTTGTTTACAGTCATTTATTGAATAAGTGTTTCGAATTTTGGGATGTTAGGATTCACAGCAAGAAATCTAAACTAAACAACTTTATCCGAATCTTGTCTTACTAATATTATAAATGCGAATGTTTCAATGGAATGATGTTTGTTACGAGATATCTCCAGAACGGCTCAACATAGCTTGATGAAATTTGGAATAGATATAGTCTGGAAGAACAGATAGGCTACTAATTATTTTCCGCGTGAACTGATTCGCGGTTGACAGTTAGTGTAACCATAAATCGTCTCAGAGTACGACAAGTATTTTGTGCTAATAACAAAGCTATGATTTATTCAATACTTAGAACTGGAAGTACCAGTCATTGCTTTTAACCTAATATATGCGTCACAGGCGGTAAACATTATAAATATAACTGGAACGGTATTCAATATGATAACATCTAAAAATATATTAAGAATTGACTTATGAATAATCTCTGGTAAGTGTATAAGAGCGTCAGTGGATTAGGAGTAAAGCACTTGACTTGCAATTTGCAGGTCCTTGTTTCGAATCCCGCCGTGTACCAATGTGTTTTTCGATTTTCGATTTACATATGTACATTTATTCGACGTTCTTACGGTGAAGGAAAACCTGATCTGAGAAGAAATTCAAAGATATGTGTGAAGTCAACCGAGACGCACTTGGCCAGCGTGGTTGACTATGGCCTAATCACCCTTAACTTAGGGTAGGAACAGAGCCCCTCGGTGGGGACGTATAGTGAGCTGATGATGATAATTTCTTGTGTATCTTTTATAGTTATAGTACGTTTCCACTGCAAAAATACTTAGATAAAAAATGTTGTCTAGTAATTTTTTACTCAGCGAGGGTTTCGGAGACTTCGTTTAAATATATATTGTTATGTCTGTTTTGACAAGGCTAATGGGGATGATATGTTTATATTATATAGAGATTTTAGTCCCAGAAACCCAGAGAGGTATAACATTTTATGGATTATAGTTACCATTTTTTCATTCCCTTTTTCGTTTTATTTTTTCATCGAGGCATGACGACATGCTTTTACAATCCACGTGTTAGTACGTTTCTTGATATAAGAAGAAATTTTTAAATAAAATAAAAACTTTAAAAAGATTAATGGCTTTTTGTTTCCTAGCTTTTACTCTGTATTGTTAACTTCAATAACATAGATATCTATTTCTTTATTTGTACTTTTTTTTTAATTTGTTTTATTTTTTTTATTACAGGATTTGGAGTAGTATCTTCTGTTGTTGCCTCAAGTTTTCTTTTAAGTTTTCTCCATGGTAGCCTGTAAGTGTTTTCTTTTTTGTTTTTTTTTTATTTCATTTTTATTTTTTCAAACTTTATATTTTTATTTGTGTTTCGTTTTACGTTTTATAGGTAGTTAAAAATAAATATTAACTTTTTACAAAATAATATTTTGCATTTCCTGAATTGAAACGTTAAGTCTAAATACCAGTTACGAGTCTCGAATAATTAAGTTCTAACGTTTCGTTTGACCTCAATCAAAATTTAATTGGAGTCAAAGCAAGCGAGGGCTTTGACGATTCAATTGGAAATAACCACGGCAGAGATGTTAATGAATTACAAATATGTTCTGATTTCAATTACGATATCATACAATTATTATGTTACTAAATTAAGTTTACTAACTGCGAAATTCCACTATAAATTGTATCATAATATTATCGCCTCTTTCTATTACAAAAGAGTAAAAGTGATGACACCTTACTAATCTTATAGATGCAAATATTTAGATGGATGGATCGATGTTTGTTTATATGTCCCGAACAGCTGCATACATCTCGATGAAATTTGGTATAGATGTAGAACTTAGTCTGAAGAATCATAGGCTACTAATTGTCTTTTTCATTCCGCGCGGACGGAGTCGCGGGCGACACCTAGTGTTTTATATAAATGTTTAAAAAAAAATAAGACTAATATGCTTCTCTGACGATTACAAACTTTTTATTCTACTTTTTGTTTATTATTATAGAAAAACATTGTATCTTTGTTTCTGTCAGAATTACACAGCGGTGAGGAAAGAGGACTAAGTAAGCTGTTAAATAAAACACATTAAGTGCCATTTTACGACTCTTTTTACATGCACTAAAAGGAGACAGTAAACATATCCTTTTAAAGCAACAATGTGGGTATGCTTATGATGACAATGTACCTATTATTAGTGAAGATTTTTATATATTTTACCTATGTTTTTGGTAACCGACTCCAATGAAATTCTATAGTACAAAAATATAAAATTTTCTATATAAATTATTGACATAAAACTTGTAATTTACAATCTGGATTGCTACAAATGTAGAGAAAGACAACAGAGAGTATGGATGGATTGTGTAAAAGATGGATATGCGTAAGAAGGGGTAGGATACAGATATGGCTGATAGAGATGTATGGAGTAATACATACTATGCCGACCCTTCGAATAAGGGCAGTTTGATGATAATATTCTTGAAACAAGTTTTATTAGTAGTAGTATAATGTCTCACGCAAGTTTGAATAACTTTTATTAGGGCAGGATTTTATTCAATGTTGATAGATTTATGTATCGATTTATTAAATTTTCTAGCAAATTTTAAAATTTAATTACCTATAACCTTCATCAGTTAGCTATCATTCGATGCGACCTCATTCAAACAGCCCCTAATATAAATTCTATATAAAATTCAAGTCACGAGTGACGTAGAATTTAGGGACAGAACGTATAGATAATTTACATTATTAAACGAATTAAAAAATAAAGAATGTTACTATGAATAAGCATCCACATAATGTCTTATTAGTAGACTAAATTTGTAGTGAAACAAAATCTAGTAAGATCAGTCACTCTTGAATAAAATTCTATCTGTGTCACTCCACATCTAACTAACTAGGGTGACGCAGCTATCCCAATTGGACCTTGGCCTCCGTCAACAAAATCTCGCACAGTTCTAACCCAGTCCCGGCCATGTAGTTCCCGAAGAAATTTATCCGTCTTATCCATCCAGTGATACCTGGGATGACCAACAGGGCGATGACCACTCGGTGTGCTATGTATACGTGTTTGATACCCAGAACCTCATACGTTCTCATTAAGACATCTAGAAAGTTCTATCTTGTCGATATAAATAATTTATTAGAAATTACTAAAGCACTTTCGTCTTTAGTTATACTTACATTTATAAAAATCTATCAATACCCACAATTCTCTATATGCCGTATAAATCTATGTAAAACACAAGTACTAAGCCATGAAAGTAACAGACGGCGGGGCGACGGGAACCGCCCGGCCCCCAGGCCTCAAGCCTAAGCTAGGGCTGTCAACATACAGTAAACATAGACCCAAATACCGACGAAACAGCGACCACCCTTTGAATATTCGATACAATTAAGGCTTCCATGATCCTTGGAACGATATCCAATGATATGTTTCATACCATTAGTTCTCACCCCATAACATTTCAATTTAGTAGCATTGCACAATTGATACAACGTACATATATCTGCGAAGAATTCCAAAAATATGCGTGGAATCAACAAAACTAAGACCAAAGTTGTAACGTACACGTTAGCGTAGGTTTGAGATAGTAGGTGGGGATGTATATGAGGTGACGAAACTTGGAGATTGTGGCAACCCTAACGTACTCCCAGGCCGGGCGGATCGGTGTCAAGGCGCTCGAGGACATCGCTCGAAGGTAGCGCGTATTCAATTCAATTTATTGGAAGATTGTTGGCTGTATTGATTTATTACTTTGTACCTTCTAGTTAGATGTAGTACCTTCTTATATTAGTTTCATTATAATTGTAAGGAGAGATTTACTTTATCACATCGTGTAGTCAATAAGTCTCAAAAGTAATTAACTTTATTTAATTACCGTTGCAAAAAGAAGTGATAAAATGGTGCGGAGTTGGCATGAGAATTAATTACAATCATTTTAAAAAATAACGTACAGAATACGTGTTACCTTACCTCATATTTGATGAATTTAAAGTACGTAAGAAACTTATCTTAAATATGTTGGCAGACTCAGTATGACAATGTTTTCAGTGCGTATGTATATTTTTGTGCATGTTGGTTTTTTATCGAAATGAAAAGTCATAGCATTAAAGATGAATTTCGTCTACAAAGGTTGTATAATAATCTATGTCAGTCGCTTTGTGGCAATAAAACGCAGTCACCCTCAACCGGAGTACTCAGAAGAGTGTCAAGTAGTCCTTCATGTTAATTCCCGGAGCCGAATTATTATGAGAAATTGTTGTTAATTGGCTTGCGCGGCGCTCGGTCGATGTCCCCTCCCTCTCGACCCCCGCATCCCGCCACCCCGATATTTAATTGACTTTACGACGCATCTGTTTCAAAATTAATCAACAAAATACGGGTGTTAAAAGTTTATAAAAAGAAACAGTTGTAAATCTTTGAATACGGAAATCGGGACTTATTTAAAAACTAGCTTTTGCTTACGACTCCCTCCGCGGGGAATTAAAAAAAACTTCATCAGTAGCCTATGTGTTCTTTCAGACTATGATCTATGTCCTTGCCAATCATCAATATCCCTTAACTCGTTCTGATGATACCTTCAAAAAACATCCATCCATTCAAACATTCGCATTTATAATATTAGTAAGATGTCAGATTCTGACTATCGCTTCTCCTTGGAACATAATTCTGACTCTCTTTTTCTCAAAAATTGAGAAGGATGATAAAAAAGTATTGTAAAAGTGTAAACTTATAACAAAAATCTAGATCCTCGGGAACCATTGCCGGAATTACTCACCATCACTATTGAGTAATTTAACGAACGTGAACATTTAAATTCTACAACTACAAAAGACATTGTAAATTGTTAAGTTTCATACATTGCTTTATAAATTTTTAAACTTATGCAATATATTTGAGGTACAATTTGTTAAATGTAATTGCAAACGTACCTCTATACAGCAAAAGCAACAGACAAATGTAATATTAATAATTCCTGGCAACGTTATTATGAAACGGTAGTATTCGACTTCGTTTAGGGTAGGCCGAAACAAGGTCGATGTTAATCAACTTTCCTAACAAAGTTAGTTAATCGATTGGCCGCCTCGTGGGCATTGTAAACAAAATGGACTACAACCAAACTCTGTCGACAATACCCTCCCCTCCCCCTAACCTCGCTCCAATTATGTATGAAACAATATTTTAAATAAACAACGTTTTATATTTGAAAAATATCGTTGGCTTAGTATATGCTGCGCCTGTTATTCTGCGATAGGCAAAGTTTATTTTCTATGCTTTTGCTGGACTTTTTTCTCATTACATATTTTGCAATGTCATTTAAACTAACATAAATAATATAAACAATGATAATTTACCAAACGAAATCATTTAAACACAAAGTTAAGAAGTTTCATATGCGTACTATGTGTACTACTAAACGTTCGAAAGTAATGGAAGTTCATGGCGAGGCAAAAAGCGCCTACCAAGGTTGCAGGAACTTGACATTGCCTCACCCGTGTAATTTGGCAGCCCTACAAGGTCGTATAAACACGCGATAAGATAATTCGCCAACCCTACTGTGTTGATATGGAGTCAGGTAATGTACTGACTCATCAAATACGTCTACCGGAAGACTTTGATTAATGTTCGAGACGTTTCTTGGTAAATACAAATAGGGTTCTATCGGAAAATTGGTTTTGCATTACCGTTAAAGGTATTTTCTATCTAAAAGGGATGCTTCGTGAACATTTCCTTGAAGCCTTTGTTTACTAATGAATTAAATAAGAGCGTTCACGTAGACGTTTTAGTTTGATATAATTTTAAGAAATATTTTTAAATTAGTAACCGTGGGTTTCTGAGTCTAAAATCTCCGTTTAAAAATATTGTTATCAATGCGTTGTCAAAGGTTGACGATATGTTTTATACAGAGAATTTGGTCTTAGAAATTCATGGTAAGTCGTTTTATTCAAGTTCACGTATCTTTATTTTTTTTTGTCGTCATAACTTTAATTTAATTAAGTTTCAATTTTAATAAAATTTTCAAATAATTAGTATAAAATACTTTCACTTTTGCGGCCAAAATGGCGCTTATTTTGGTACGTAACAGATATATACGAGACAAATATATAAAGCGATATAATATGTGATTTATTGACGGTCAGGACATAACCCTTTCGCATAACGGTATGTGACCCTTGGGCTCTCATAAATTAGGGTCTTCTTTACCATCTTTGAAATCATAACGCATAAAATCAAGTAATTTAATATCTATTTTTCAAAGAAATACATTTGTTTTTATAACGCAATTTCTTTCTTACATCATATTTGTTTACTTAAATAAAATATATTTAAAAGGTAAAAAAAAATCTCCTTGTTCGTAATACCGGATTACCTAGACGAAAAAATGCTGAGAGTCGTAAATATAATTTTATATGTAAGAAGGTTTATCACCGACCCACATTATTTCACGTTCCATCAATTTCCTTGAGGACTTTTCCGTTTCATCAGAAGCAATAAAAGAAATTTCCTATAATTCAGAACGATGTCCTGTTGAAGTATATTATCGAATCTGTTGAGTATTTAATGAAGTCAAATAGAATAATATTTCCATAAACCCTCATTATTATTTTCTTGAATTTTTTAATCACAATTGATATTCCGGTTTCACCTTGTCCGATCTACACGTAACTCTAAACCGATTTAGTACCGAAGTTAGTGACAGGCTTAGTGCTTGAAATTAATAAATGATGTTACATAACAAACAATATTCTGATTCCTTGTACTAACACAGTTACACTAGCCTTCTTCTGGACTAACTTGCTGTAACTTTAAACTATTATTACTATTAGGGTTTATAAATTGTTTCAGCCATGGAAGGCGGTGCGTGGTGCGCCCGCGACATCTCGCTGCGCGCGCAAAAGAAGTTCCTGTCGCGGGTTGGGGGCGCAGCAAGCGCTCGCGCTTTGGTTCTCGACGAGCACGCTGCTAAATTGTTAGACCAGGTCAGTGTCAGTGGTATAGAAGACTAGCTGTCGCCCGCGATTCCGTCTGGGCAATTAAAATAAAAAAAATATGAGTAGCATATGTGGTCTTCCAGGCCAGGTCTTCGTTGAGCCGTTCTACAGATACATTCTAACAAAAATCCATCCATCCATCTAAATAACAGGGCTAACGAGCAACAAAAAACAGAGGAAACCCATACATTTGTTATATGTTTCGTTTAGTTTCTGACGGTGCTGAGGGAGCGCGTGGAGAAGCGCGAGGCAGAGAAGTTGGTGAAGCACGTGATCAAGGCGGCGGTGAAGCTCGGCGTGCTGCGTCGGCACGGACAGCTCTCCGCGGCAGACGAGCGCGCCCTCGCCGCATTCCGCAGCAAATTCCATGTACGAATACATATTTTTTTAATCCTAATTTAATAAAAAAGAAGTTCTAAATTAGTGTTTATATTATTTGCGCGACTTCATCTGCACGAAATTAAAAAAAGTTTTTTAGGTAGCTTAGGTATTCTTCTAGATAGTATTATACATCTATGCCAAATTCCAGTAGGAACTACGCAGCCATTCTGGATATACATAACAAACATCTATCCATACATACAAACATTCAGTTAAATTGTTAGCGATGGCAAATGAGCTAGCGTGCACCTGAGTCCGTAAAATCACATTCTATATGTCATATTCGTAGTAGAATCGTCATGTGTCGAAATGTATAACAATAAATGTAGTTTTTTTATGTATTGCAGACGGTGCTGATGGCTGTAGTGTCATTCTGCGAGGTGGACTTCTCGTATGACCGTGGCTTCCTGCAGGACGCTCTAAGGGAGTCGCATCAATCGCTCAAGTAAGCTATACAACTTTAAAAATATTTAGCAATGTTTTAGCATTCCGTCAAGATTTTGTAAAAGTATTTTTATGTAAAGACTAGCTGTCGCCCTCCACTTCGTCTGCGAGGTATTAAAAAAAATAGTCTTTGTTTTCTTCAACACTATGTTCTACATGTGTGCCAAATTTCATCAAAATCCGATTAGTTGTTCCGGAGATAACGTTCAAACAAACATCCATCTAAACATTTGCATTTATAATATTAGTAAGATAAGCGAATATTTAATTATTCCTTTAAATAATATTGATGCTTATTAAATTCCAGGTCTGTAGTCGAAAGGCATTTGTCAGACAAATCAGTATCTAGACTGGCCGGTGTATTCGCACTGGCTTCTCGCGGGGACCTCTTAGATTCCTTATTCTCCGGCCAAATAGACGAAGATGTGCTCAAACTGACAAGGATGCTGCGCAAAGAACTGGACAGGGGCCTGATATAAACCAAACGAGGAGATACGTAAGCCGTCCTATAACCAAAGCTGTTCTTACCATCTAAATGATCTCTATATTAAAGAGTATCGGTCCGCTTTCGGCCGGTGTTGCCATTATACTATTTTAAAAACGGTAGAAATCGTGGCGATTGGAGAATAATTATGAAAAAAAAAACTCGTTTGTCTTGTTAAAGGCAGTTAAGGGTGAATTTCACTGTTAATTTTTAACTTTTTACTCTCAAGCGAACCGTTCTTCAAATCTTTTGGGATCAGAATATAGTTATCTCAATAAATTGAGATTGTCTCTTTATTATTAATATTCGTTATTCGGTCTCTATTCGATCGGTGTTTTGTAGACGCTTTGCTTTATTTAATAAGCAAACACTAACTTTAGACCTATTTGGGCTATTATTTTAAGACTAGAGTTTGCTCATTTTCAGCGTTCACGTCGTCCAAATAATTTTAATTAAATGTTACTTTTAAATCGTAGATTAAAAAATGTTGCTCTCCTAAAAATAAAGCTACCAATTGGTAATATTTCTGTTAGTAGTTTTTGTGACGGTGCTGCCAATAAAAAAATATTACCGTAAGTGAAAAAAATATTTTATTGCGTCAGGATAAAAACATTTTATATCTATTACACTAAAATAGAACATAAACAAATGCTATAACGATAAATTTTACATAAAATAATTTGATTTAATATAATTTAAATAATAATGTTTCCTTTATAATGTTGGTCGCACTGTCACATAACGATGTAAAACTTTTGTTTGGTAAATCATAAAAATGTTGGTATTACCTTGGTGTGTTGAACTAAGCGACTTACGCGAGGAAATTAAAAATATATTGAATGTTTTGTAAAATTACGAAGGGTCAAAACAATAATGTAGTTGATTGTTTTAAAATTAATATTATTAAGTCGCGCGTAGTATTTTCGCAATGGCGCTGGCCGTAAAAACTTTTGTCTCATTTTGTATACTGAATGCACAACTTGCCTAATTTTGCCGCGAATTTTATATTCCATTTTCAAATTTTTATATATTTCATTTACACGCATTGGCTTTAATTTTTTTAATCTCATGAGATCTGATATTAGTTTTAGGTTATAATTCTTGCCTGATGTACTAAAAAGTATATTTAGTTGCCAGATTATGGAAATTAACGCATTTAGTAGATATTAATAGGTGTTACTTGTGAATGAAAGTCGTTTGTAGTTAAACGCCTGATTTAGTAGTTATAGTTACCAAATTCTTAATTAACGGTAGTTTTTTCTACTGATTTTAAAAATTCTACTAAAAATTACTGTTTATATGCAGTATTATAATTTTTATCTATTATTATTTTTCTATTTCTCAAGGGATCAGTACAGGTCTGTAATATATAAAGAAAATATCAAACTTTTGACTAAACAGCACATAGTTATCTTCGTAATTTCGGACCAAAGTTTTCTATCTAAATCTAGATTATAATAACTACATATCTGAACAAATCTTCATATCTCTCTTTTATTAGCAATAAAACGGTATATTAAATGTATATGAATTATTTACTTTGGTCTCTTGCCGAATAAATGGTAGCGAGAAAATACCTTTGTCCCTTGGACTCTCGCTTAATTAGGTTCGACTATATTTTAATAATAAAAAATCCTATTGAACACATATGAAGCTAGATAAAATCAAAGAAATAGTCAGCCATCGAAAAAAATTATATGGCAGTATTTTTTTTATTAGATTTTTTTGACAATAAATGGCAAAATTCCTTTGGTATAAAAGTGAATAATTGATTTTTTTAATGTTCTATACTTAATTTCCATGACAATTTTATAATATAATATTATACGGTTTTTAGAATATTTTTTATCTTATTAACTTATATTATTTGTAATTTTAATATTTTAATTTACGTTTTAATATAAAATAAACATTTAAAACTATCCATGACATAATAGTAAGGAATATCACTAAATCCACAAAAACTTTGTTCCACTCATATATTTTAAAGTTCACGTTTTGAGCACTATAGTGCACTAGTCTAAGTGTTACAAAAATATATATAAGACTTTGATAATATGTTTTTTTGTTGATATAAAATTTGATAGAACGAATCTCTATCGTTTACTTAAATTTTACTGTCAAAGTAGTAATCTGAAACACAATAAGCAATTATAATAATGATTGTTGTCTATCAAACCAATCTTTCTGTCCCTGTCTTTCAAATATATATGCATTTGACGTAATTTAGTTCCATTAAAAACTGGATAGAATAATACTATCCACATTTTAATAAAAGCTGGATAGAATAATTCTATCCACATTTTAATAAAAGCTGGATAGAATAATTCTATCCACATTTTAATAAAAGATGGATAGAATTACTCTATCCACATTTTAATTACTTAAGTTGGCTCTTTTTTTATAATGTTTCAAATGTCTGATCCCTAAGGTCTTTAGTAAATTATGAATGCAATTTGGATACATCCATCCCAGTTGAGTTTTAGTGTGTCGTATTTTGTAAATATAAGCATCTTTCAATTGCATCTAATCATATTGATAGTAAAAGTTGTCAAGTATTCAATTTGCAACATTTTTTTTATATTTTTATGTCCTGTTTATTTTAAATTTTAATTAAATAATACTCCTAATAGATTTCTTCGTTGCCCTTACTTTTAAGTTTGTAATTGTATGAATATCAATTAAAATATAGAAGAAAATTCAATGTAATTTTACAAAAGGACTTTGGAATTATTTTCAATATTGATTTAAAAATTTAAACAATAGCTTACTTCATAACCGTTCGCGCGCGTTCCACTAGCAAAAACATACAAAAATATTGTCATCCCGCTCATACTCTATGTAAGGAATAGAGATAGCAATATGTGAATGTGTGTCGACATTGAATACACTAATTTGCTTAGTTTAATCGTAATCGTCATCCGAAAACTCGGCTTCTAATTGTAAAGTATGTTAAGCTCTACTATATGTGTTAAGATTTGATATCAAAATATACAATTGATAAAATATTTGTTTTTTATTGTATCCTATTTTTAAAACAATACTTGAATATAAATATTAATTCCGACGAAAAAAAAAATAGTAAATTCCCAAAAAGTTTTTATTATTTGTTGGATCATTTCGGTCACAGATTATTTTGATTTAATATTTTTCATAACATTTCTTGATGACATTTTACTAATATTATGAATGCGAATGTTTGGATCGATGGATGGATGGATAGATAAATGGATCTCTATGGATGGCTACTAAATTTGTTTTTTAATTCCGCGCGGTCAGGTCGCGTGCAACAGGCTATTAAGGAATAAAAATAAAACAATATTTTTTTTGTGAAAGCACCAGTCAATAATTTATTCACTAAAATTCCTTAGTATACAATTCTGATGTGTTAAAAATATACAGCTAAATTAACCTGGGTACGACTTACAAAGATATTTATGGTGACAGATAAATGACAGCAAATTTAATAGAACGAAAAAACATGTTTCTACTGACAAAAGACGTACAAAAACATATAGTCGTTTCTCTCATTCTCATTGAAAAGAACAGAGATAACAGTATGTTGTTTTACTGCGTCTTTTTATTCGCCAATTAAATATAGATGTTAAAACTGTTATGGAATATAAGAATTAAATTCTTTTTTTTAATGTAATATAAAATAAATCCTGCATAAATATCTTTCGCGTGTCTGTCAATACTAATTTAGATAATGTTCAAATTATAGAAGACCTACTTGATTTTGACGCATTTATAAATATGGTAACACTGTGCTTCGTAGGTCTCTATGATTGCGCTACTGTGTCTATGCCACGTTTGATACACTCACTGAACTCTATATATGGACAGGCTATAAGCTATAGTGTTTTGTGCCTATTTGATTTTACACGACGATAGACAGATAGAATAAACTGTCAGTAACATCAACAACCTGTCCATTTATAGAGATCAGTGTACATACTACAATATAAACGTAAAAACAACAAATTGTCTTTGAAACAATAACACTTGATACTTAATACATTAAGAGATCGAAATATTAGACGACTAAAATGATAGAGCATTCGTTATTTACTCGATGATTACATTTATTTACACAATACGTTTGGGAATGTCTGAAGTATGGAGATTATTATTCCACTTTTACACACATATAGATGACAATTGTAACTTTTTATTATATTAAAAGTATGATTTTAATTCAATGACAAATATGTTTTAGATGTTATAACTAATGAATAAATTGAAAAATACATACATCTTATTGTCTCTAGTACATAATATAAAGCGAATGACACGTTTCAAGCAACAAAATCTTATTTTATAATCGTTTGTGTTTACAACTAAAATAAAGTTTGATTTTTTTTATCTGTGACTACAATTTCCAAAAGTAAAACACAGTTTAGTAAAGCGCCATCTATTTTTATACATGCGACACTAAAAATATGTGACTGTAAGCAAAAAGCTTCATGAAATGAACTTTTGTCTAATATTTTCTTAATAAACTCCATCCATATGTCACTACTATAAGTATAAAATAGATTTCTGTCTACCCTATTACATATAGATATATTGAAGTTAATGAAAATGGATGAAATATTTTAAGTATATAACTGTGAATGATATTTTACTTGAATTTATTTTAATCTATAATTTTTTTATGTTTTGAATGTCAAATAAAAAAAACATAGAGTAAAAAATCAGATACGTCATTCTACGTTGGTGCTTTCAAGAACGCTTTTAGATATGCGTTTTGTTTATGAAAAAATATTTACACAAAACAGGGAAAACGATACACATCCCCGAAACTCAAAAATTATTATAATATAATTGTTTTTTTTTTTTAATTAAGTAATTATTTAATAAAGTATATTTACTACGAACAAATGAAAGTAAATTAAACTGATTTTAATTAGATTATATAATATTTTATCAAATTAATTATTTAATAATATAATGTTATGTATCGAGACAATTAATTAAGCCTTTATATCAGATCTAAGATTATATATACAAGTAAAAAAAATAATTTGAAATATTAGCAAAATATTTATATAATTAATGTAAATGAAAAAAGCGCGCAGACAAAACTTAAAATAATACATTAATAATTTAAATTAAATACTTAAATAAAAAAAAATCGAATGAATTCTATCGGCAAATGTGCGTTTTACGATGAAAATGTATTCACCAATTATATTGAAAATAAAAATAATATTATCAATGTATGTTCTTTATGAATAACATTTCGCGTTTTCTTAAATTATAAACAAAATTATCTACCTAATAGATTGAAATAACAAAGATATATGTCACCCCGAATATATCAAATTCCTTCCCTGTTATTGGACTTTGGCTTATATATTTTTATCCCTCAACTGAAAGGAAATAATTTATATATCCCCTTAAAGTTACATAAATAATATATTGTATATTGATTCTTTTAAAATTATATTAAATATTTGCAAAATGGTTGAAAATATATATAAATTAAATCATAATTTCACCAAAAAAAAAACTTAATAACGAGTAACTATCTTTTACACACAAATATAAATTACGCCGTGCTATCAACGGGTAGACGCCGTGCAAACAACGCGCCTATAATCAGGTTAGTGGATTACGTGAATAGCATTATACGAGAAAGCGCTTAAACACTATATCTATTACTTTGAGATCACATTCAGAAGTCAAAAAAGGGATGCAATTATGGTATATAGAGTTGTATCATGTTGGTAAAAAGTAAGATGAAACATAGATAGATAAATACACATTTAGACTTGCCTGGGGTTAGAAAGACAAACAGAGGGGTAATTTTTCTTATTTATTATCCAACCTGAATAGCTAGAAAGATATCGAAGATTGAATTGTTTGAAACAACCAAGCCGATTGCAACGACAACGTAGGGACTGCTAATATAAAAAAAACAACAACATATTATATTCCGTCGTACCTTGCTAAGCGAGAACTCGATAAACGAGAACTTCTATGAGCCAGAGTTTGCCTGGTCCTGATGACGACCTCCACAAGCGAGAAACTCGGTTTAGAGGGAAACCTCTTTAAGCTATAAAAATATCGCGATACCTTGATCTTTCGCTTATCCATGTTCGATTGTGTTGTTTAGAAGGTTTGTTAAATAATTTTCACCTGGGATGTATGGGTTTTGGTAGCCGTAAACGATGTTATTAAGCGGTAGCTTTTGTAGATGGTGTAAGTAGGATGTGTGATGGTGTTGAGGGTTTGGGAGTGTTTGTGGGGGAGTTGGGGGTAAGGATTTTGTTTACTCCTTGAGCTTGTGCCAGTCGGCGATCTGTCGGCGCGGCGCGGCCTGCACCTCACGCCAGTGATGGCGCGCGCTGCCCGTGCCAGCCGCACCAAGCTCCAGCCGACCTATCACCTGTACATCATTACAATGTTATTATGAGATAATATCGTCAGTATTGAGAAGTTACACGTGATTTATTAGCCTTCATTTGCGGAAGATCAGTGGATAAGAGTAGAAAGAGGGAAAAGGTACAGGATCACACTCCAAAAATTTAAAGTCGACTTGTTTAGCATTTTATACCACTTGCTTAAGAATATCAAGAGGGCATGTGTAAAATCGGTAGTTGTAATAAATTAAGCTAGCTTGTCTCGTTCTAATGTAAAATTAAAACTCAACGGAGAATCTCAAGTCTTGATAACCAAAGCTGTCTTAGCAGACTTGTGCCAAAGAACCCACTGCAAGTGAAGGACTGACGCGTAGCGATATGCCCCGTGTACCTTCTGAAATTGTAAGACGTCACAAATCTCACGCTATAGATATTGGTTACCTCGTTCTTGGTGACGCGATCCCAGTCAAGCACGAGCAGCTCGAGGGAGACGTGGTCGAGCGAGGCGCTGGGAGCTGCGGGCACCTCGAACACGAACGACTCGTTGAAAACAGGGTTCAGAGTGCGCTTCTTCACGTGAGTCTTCTTCTTTGCGATACGCTGCCCGTTGTACAGCAGGTACATCTTCACGTATCTACAAATGTACACGAAAATACAAATGTATTATGAGTAATATGTATGGGTCTATTTCTACTAAGTGATCATATTAATGCCAAAAAGACTCAATACTCCATAGAAAAATTGGCCGTGAAGATGTGCTAATTGCTAAGTCAAAATTGCAAAAAGCCGATACTTTGAAATGGAAATACGGAACACGAATTGAGAAAAAAACGTAGGAATTAAGTTTAGTTGTATAGAAGATATTGTAACTTACGGGTCGGCGAGTCCGGTGACGTCCATCTTGGGCAAGTTGCGGGCTTTCAGCAGCACGACGGTGAGGCGCGCGGCGGCCGGCTGCCAGCACAGAGACACCAACACCTCGCCACGACCCACGCTGCGCATCTAACATACACACAATAGAGTTTCACTAATGGTACTGCTTGTAAATTTATTTTACCGCCTTTCTTTCTTATACTAGTAACTACAGCACTTTGTACTATTTGGATTCTTAATACTCCTTTTCTACTAAAGGACTAAGAGCGAATGTTATTTTTACGAACAGTTCTAACCAAGCCAGAGGAAATGGAATTTATCTTGGAGATAGCAGTCTACTACAGAAGAGGTCTAAGAATATCCAAGTTGTTGGTAGGCTAGTTAAGTTGTATGCGGAAAGTTACCTTGAGGCTGCGCGGCTGTATCTCGCGGCAGAGGGCCATGGCCTCACCGCTGTGCAGTTGCAGTCCCGACAAAGGCGACACCACCTCACCGATTATCTCGTCGCGGGAGTATCTGAAAATAAGTTTCTTGACATCAGCAAATATACGATCCGACCGAGATTTTAGATTAAAGGTAATCAGTGTAGCACGCAGAAAACCACTGTTAAATTAAATTAATTTTGGTTATTACTTAGACATTTTTAATTAGAATCATTTGGCGCGAATGGTGCGCTTTCGTTATAAAGTCCAGACATTTTAGTAAAGCTAGTGTTACGCCAGTACACCGACACAGTGTCAGATTTTCTTCCTAATATTACATACTAAATTTACCGCGTGTTTGCCTACAAACACATTAACCTTCTTCTTTTTCTCTTTGAAAAAAGAGAGATACAAAACAATAAGTAATAAAGTGTCAACAAGAACGATGGCTTTCTACTGTCAAATAGTGTTTGTACTGACCTATCAAAGCTGAGGACGACAAAATGCAGCGTGATGGCGGCGAGCTGGTGCGGCGCGAGGCCGTAGAACGTGAAGTCCTCATCGTATACCGGGCAGCGAGTCTTGCGGACCACTCTGCAAAAGAGAGAGACAAACATTATCGTATATCTATACCATCACAGAATTATAAGACACAGTTAGACCAGTGCATACAGGTTGTCATGGTTAACGTTGAATTGTGTCACTCTACGCTCGATTCTCACTGCGACTATTAGGTTAGATAAAATCTGTTAGGTTAGGTTTTCTGAATCATTACTTTAATGCGAAAGTAACTCTGTCTGTCTGTCCTTCTTTCACACTTCTATTGGACCGATTTAAATGAAAATTACACAGTACACAAATAGTCTAGAGCCTGAGAAAAGACATAGGCTACTATTTAACACGAAAAAAGGGTTGTTCCGATATAATAAAAAGATCAGTAAGCCAAATAATATTGTATTTTGAAAGTTTGTGAGATTACCTTGTCTTGACCTTATGCTGTTTGTCGGGGAGCAGTTGCAGCTTGACGTAGGGGTCGGGTCCTGCTGGCTCACGGCCCGGCAGTCCTTGGCAAGATACCACAGACACCACCAATGCACTCTTCTCCTTCTCATACCTTTAACAGAGAGAAATTAATTAGGAACTAGGTGAAAAGTTAATTTGTTTAGTTACCCGAACTTGGACAAACCTCTATAAGCGAGATATTGTCCGATCCTGACGGATGACCTTCATAACCGAGAAATAACGTAATGTAAACGGGTAGAGAGAAACTTCTAGAAGCGAGAAAAATATTGGAATTCCACCGTCGGAACAATTATATTTAAATATACTATTGTCTCTATTTTTTCAAGCAGAATGAGAAGGATGACAAATTATTTGTATGTGTGTTCTGACAATGAACTCTCACATTTAAAGTGATATCGATTTGTTCCTCCGTAGCTATGAATAATAAATGGCTTACGGATTTATCCTTGACTTAATTTACATTATATTATATACAATATTTTGTTTTCTATCTTCGTAAATATATACATCTTTCAAATAAGAAAGCATTTTCTTGTTACGTAAGACATAACTCTTAGCTATATCAGCTTTAATAGCCTCGTGTAGACAAGGAAGTGGGTCACCTGACACGCCGCCCATTGTGTCCCGGGCTTTTAAGACATTTCATTCAATAAAAAATAGTGAATATGCACTTTTATATTTAAGAAAGAAAACAACATCTAATCCTATGACATTTCAAAGAATACGAATCAAATGTTTACTCAATCTTTGAAATCTTTCAACACGTAAAATGTTAAGTGTTCGAGATGGAATTTTCTACCGCGATTTTGCCATCACCGATATAACCATGCAAAACCAGATTTCTATCTCATTTTTTTATAGGAGAACGAAAGTGATGTCAGATTTAATTCATAACATAATTTCCGCTGTTGAAACTGGAAAAATAAATTTACACTCATTTTGTTACCTTCCCATATAAAATGAATCATATTCCTTACTAGCACGTTATTACTACGAGCCGAGTATAAAACTCGGAATAATGTGACATCTAATATTCAATGAAAATGTAACATTTTTCCGCATACTAAAAGCCTATTACGAAGTATCTTACGGGAACATACGGCTGCTTTCTTATCGAAAATAATGATATTATTATACATGTGATTATAACAATCCATGAGTTCATAATGAAATAATGGAAAACGAATACTACTTTATTTTGTAGTTTTATTTTAAACTAGCTGTCGCCCGAGACACCGTCCGCGTGAATATATAAAAAAACTTAATTAGTGTAGCCTGTGTGTTTTGTGTATTCCGTGGACTGCGAAACGAACAAATAAAACTATTCTAGACCTAGAAAATATCCACCAGACTAGCCACTACATGCTACCGACGAGTCCTTGGATACTTTGGACATATTGCCCGGAGACATCCCGACAACCTAGACAAATTGGTTGTGGTCGGAAAGATAGAGGGTAAAAGGTCACGGGGTCGGTCACCTACCCGCTGGTCCGATCAAGTGCAGGCTATATTGGAACTCAATATCACGACTGCCCTGAGACAAGCCTAAGACAGGACGGCGTGGAGGCAGCTGGTCAACACAGCCGTTAAAGCATATCAAGACAAGTACGACCTTCAGTAAAGAAGAATACGAAGAAGAAGGAGTGTGTTCTTTCAGACTATATTCTATACGTATGCCAAATTTAATCGAGATCCGTTCAGCCGTTCTAGAGATATCTTCAAGCACCCATCCATCTATCCACATCACATCCATCTAAACATTCGCATTTATAATATTAGTAAGTGATAGCTTTTCGGCATAATTGTTAATTTTAGAACGGAATGAATAATACTTTATACGCTATTGTATCCACGAGCGTTGTCATCGATAAATTTCGCTGAAGCTGAATTTCATATTTAGATTATATCGCGATCAGTTTGATTAGATTAAATCCGCTTGTGTTATATTACATACGGTTTCAATAACACAACAACATATAGATGAATTTAATATCAATACTTTTGTATAACTTAGCAAAGTTAAGGAATTGCCGCCTTTGTGGCGCGTCACGCTGGTACGGCATTGGTGTGGCATCTCTCTAACAGTCTACTGTTACAAAACGTAAAAGATTTTATGTAGTAAAAGAGATATAGTTTATTGTAGACGAGAAGTACCAGACGAAAAAAAAACATTTTTTTTAAATAGCCTGACGTTTACTATTTTATAATTAATTTCAAAATGCAAAGAGGTTTCACAGTAATTTACTCATCTACAAAAAGGAATTAAATTACTATAATAATATTTAAACATATCTTACATTCTTTTGATGTAACATTTGTTATTATTATTGTAATAAATTGAAGTTTTTTGTTTTCTGTAAAATAAATGAGAGTTATATTGTTTTGTTAGAAAATAAATCAGAGCGTAGCGAGATTCGTTTCTAATAATCCGATACGCTGGAATCTTTCTTGTGTTTTCAACGAAATTAAACGAAATCCAATTTGGAGGTGATGTTGTATTATTTTTCAAAAGTTTTTCCAGGAAATTCGTCTACGAAACCAATTTCTTATTTATTGTAGCTGTAGATGATCCTGTACTGTATTAAGTTTATTAGAAAATAAGATATAATAATATACACTCACGCTTAAACAAGTGAACTTTCTTTAAACTGTTTAAGCACCGCATCCATAACCACATCAAACGACTTTTATAATGCGTACTGCGTTCCGGAGGCCTAATTTAGCCCCCTTTCCTTCCTACCCTTTTTCTTATAAGGAAAGGAGTGAAAGTGGACTTTCCGGATGAGAGGATGCATGGAAATGTTTTCTTTCTGTAAATCCTCTCCTCCGTCGATTAAAGGTAGCCAACGCATATGCAATTGCGTATGTCTATGAGCAACGGTCACTTTGCTATTTCAGCGATTTCAGGTGACCGCTCGCTCGTTTGCCACCTTATGATATAAAAAAATCTAAAGAACAATATAACTCATGCCCCTGACCCGGAAGAGTAGGCAGTATTATACATTCACTCTCATTTGCGTATCATAGAGAGGGTATTAAACATGTTAATCCTTAACTTTAGTTTCTAATTGCAGATTTGTCCAACGTTATTATGTATAACAAATTTCAAAATAATTGTACATTATCAAGAGTTGTTTTAAAAGCTTTTCCTCGTACAATAACGACCCACCCTGTAAACATGTTTGGCGCATGTGGGCGAACTTACCGCGAATATATTGATTTTGTATCCATTTACTGTCACTGCCCTGTGACACATCACCACATATTACAATAACAAGCCTTTATCAAACATACTAGCTGTAGCCAGCAACTCCGTCCACGCGGAAATAAAAAAAACATAACTATATGTATACCAAATTTCATCGAGATCCCTTCAGCCGTTTCGGTTATACCTTCAAACATCCATCCATCTATTTTTCCATCTAAATATTCGCATTTATAATATTAGTAAGATTTATGAGAAAAAATTATCCGTAGATACTTTTCGTAGACATCATTATTCGTAGACACTTCGTAGACATATTAAATTAATTTAATCTTTAAAAGATACTAAATAGATATATCTCTTGTAATAGTCGATATTAACGTGACAAAACATTCATACAACATTGTCATGACTCATACATAAAAAAAAACTGAGACAAAAATGTTTTGAACAGATTTTCGTCACACGAAATCCTATTTTACGCCTACTTTCAAGGTATGTATTTTGTTAAAGAAATGTTATATTAATTAATCTATAAAAAGAATTGTATTTAATGGTATTCAGTAAATAATACGATAAACTTTTCTAATTCAATGAGTCTGTAGTTAGTCCGTCAGTATAGTTACGTAATTCGATATACACCGGACTGACGACACAGACGGGGCTGAACTAATCGACTTTACTGCTATTGGATTATGTGACGTCACAAGAGATGGCGAACAGGTGCCTCTGAATATACGTTAACGTCACAAAGATGTTATAGATACAGTTATCTTGATCCAGGATTTAATTGTAAAGATATACAGACGCTAGATGGTGCTTTAGTAGAAATCATCCTGTGATACGAATTCATAAGAAATGATTTGGAATTATAGTAAAGTCTTGGGAACCCTACCGTGCGACTGCAGCGATTTGGGGTCGATTTTTTATATTATTTAATTTTATTTTTAGTTTGGTTTAGTTTTAGTATATAATTTATTTAATATAGTATTAATTAATTCATTTATTTTGTAGTGGTTAGTTATTTAGTAAGATTATATTTTAATTTATAATTAGGTTAATGATATTCTTCTTGGTTGAATAAAAATTTTGCCATTTCATAATGTAAAAAATAGTAAGGTTTCATTAACATCCATACAAAAACATATATTTGTCTCGATTTTTAGAGTTCCACATATCAAAAGAAAAAAACGGAACCTTGATAAGATCACTTTGTTATCCAACTGTCTGTTAGTCTGTCAAGACCCCTTTTTCAAAGGGGCTTGATAATACGAACACTTCGGTGTTCCCGCTGCTCGTTTGCTCCCTTCTGTTATAAAAAAAATGTTTTGCATGTTTTTAGGAAAATTACTATAATTGAAAGACGGTCATATTTTTGTAATGATCGTGTTAAATGACTACGAAGCTTTATATTTAGTTAAACACAGAATAATTTAGTTAATTACATTGGGGCAAAAAAATAGAGTAATCACAAAGAACGGCTTAAGTGATGAATTGGAAAAGGGTTGCCAGTTATTATAAATAATTCGAAATTAATCCTTTGCACGAGGCAGTATATAAGCCTTTCTACTAGAGACTAATTTTAAACGTCTATCTTCAAACGAGTTTTATTCGCAAACGCGCGCAAAATCCAAGCTCCGTTATGAAATATTTAAAAGCGTTGAAAAGTATTTAAATTCTCGAAATTCGTCGGAAAATTTTCAATTCCAACAAGATTCATATGCATCGCAGAGTGAATACGTTTAGGAACTTTCACTTCTAACTATTATTATCATAAATTTTTAAATATATTAACGCCAGTAAGTAGTCATCATCATCTCACTATACGACCCCACCGAGGGACCGGAGCCTACCCTAAGTTAGGAATGACTAGGCGATAGTCAACCACACTGACCGAGGGTTGGTTAACTTCACGCATATTGCATCGCAGGTTGCATCACGATGTTTTCCTTCACCGTAAGAACTTCGGATAAATGTACATATGGAACACGAGACACATATTGGTACTTGAAAAATAATATTTTGTTTGTACTCACCGTAGCTTGAAATGCAAGTCTCCAAGTCGTCCGTCATTGTTTTCTGGTTCAGTTGGCTTGACCTTCTCGGTAGCAGCGGCGTCGGCGAGTTCCTTGCTCAGCGGGAGCGGCTCGGGAGCGGTCGGGGTCTGCGGGGACAAGCCACCCGGGGACAGCTGCAACAACACATAAGAAAACCTATAATATACTTTTGTATCCCATTATAATGACTATGGGTAGTCTGTGTATTTCAGCGATATCAGATAACCGCTTGCTACTTCCACAAAAACAAATGCAACCGTATTTCGTTCACAAATGTTTCTCCAGCATAAATAGAAATGTCTCCTTTTTGTATTTTTTTCACAATACTAATATTCGTCGAAATAATAATCTAGCTTTTGAAAATAAGCTACTGTTCCATTAAAAGCAACTTTTTTTTACTACAAAAGGATTTTTTGCCATACACATATAATTTTGATAAAAAGTAAACACTGAAAAATATGCAAGAAAAACTTTACTGATATTCATTGCTACGTTATTGCCATCTTATTTTTATATAAATGTTTCATCAGTGGAAACTAGACGGTTATAACAAAGGCTATAAGAGCAAGACTAGAAAGTTAACATCGGGTACACCTCGTTGAAACCACCACCCAATCCTCACCTCCTTAGTGGTCGGCAGTTGAGGTTGCAGCTGCGGTTGCGGTTGCGGTTGCGGTGGTGATGTAGCTGGAGTGGGTGCGGCGGTGGGCGAGGGCGACTTGCGCAAGTAATGGGTGGCGGAGCCAGGTGAGCGCACCGCTGTCGCACGCCGTGGAGGCTGGAACACCAGCGCCTTGTCCGGACCGCGTTTACCACCTGAAGTACACTTTAGTTAGGTATAGAGGACGAAGATATGTCTACAGTAAATATAATTGTGGTAAAGGTTCACATTCTTTTATTGGCACCAAGACATATTCAAAAAAAAATGAAGCATAAACATAGTTTGAAAGCAGTTAAACATAATAAGTTTCAGATGGTTAGTCGATTGAAATAGAAAACTCCATGAAATTGCATAGCTCTTTTACTATAAATTTAAAAATATCTCCGAAAGAGCTAGCAGCTAGTATTGTTAATTAACATACTGCTGTCTGCAAAATATTATTAGGGCTGCTATTATTTCTTTCTAGAACTACGAGAGTATAAAATAAATGAACACTATACCTAGTTTGTGTGCGAGGGTTGCGCGACGGCGGGCCACCCAGCAAGCCAGCGCGGCCAGCATGGCCGCCAGCAGCCCTGCCGCACACACCACAACAGCCCAGAACACGGAGCTGTGCCACTCGCCCGCTGTATAAAAACAAAATATAACCTTTAAAAATGTAACTGGTTTCAGTGAAACCTTGCTGGTACATTACTTCTTCAAGTTGTGAACCCCTTTAACAAAATATAGGTTAAGTTTTCTTTAACTTTAGTAGTAATAAAAGTAGTGTTTTGTTTTGCAACAAATCACCTTATAGGGCAGTAAAATGTTCCCATAGCCTCGAAATAGGCCGTCAAGCCGGCTTCAATATTAGGATAGGCTTACCCTCTATCACGCTGCCAATGTCACGCCCCGCCGGGATTGACAATAAACACGCTGCGACCGCAAACATGACGTGTTTACCGTGTTCTTAACACGGTCAATGTAAATAAGACTACGTTTTCAGTTTGATCGACTACGTGTTCGTTGTGTTTCGATTGATTTTATGGCTTTCAAAAAAATTTAAAAAGAAAAAGAACAGTAATCTTTTATTTAATCTGTATTTGAAGTAGCAAAAAAAGAATCCTAACATTTTTCAGAAGAAAACAACTATTTAAAAATCAATGATCGCTGTCGACCGCAGAAGTTTTCCAGACTTAATTCTAACCAACAATATTTATAAATATAAAACATAAACTAGAAAATCCGACAGAGCTTTATAAATAAATCCAAAATAAATTTCTTGTACAAAATATAATCCACTAATGTCAAATATTTTGACTTAAAGAGATATAACGAATACCCTCATGAGACTAAATAAATCACTCCGGGCTTCGTATTTTATTTAGGTAAAGATTCAATTTATCTTCAAGAACCTTTTTCACTCGTGGTCTATTTAGGGGACTCTATTTATCAATGTTGAATATATGCTACTCGTATTAATACGACCCTCCTAAAATACGACACTAATATTACCTAAATAAATACCTATGTCAACTTAATTAAATCTTACTACTATTATAAATCATTTGAATGTTTGATGTTTGTTAGAAGGTAACTCAACAGAATAGCTGTATGGATCTCGTTAAAATTTCACATAGATATGGAAGTCTAGAAGAACACATTGGCTACTAAACAAGTGTTTTATATTATGCGTGGACGAAGTCGCAGGCGACAGCTATTTTATAATAAGAATGATAAAAACAAAATGTACTATAATTATTTCAGGCAATGTTAAAAAATACGACACAAGCTAGAAACAAATGAAGACTATATTAAAATTCCTTATCAATTTACACTAGAAAAAAAGTTAGTTTTATTATGTCTATGATTTTTGTCTCTACTCTCTTTTTAACTCTACTCAAAGTGAATATAAAAGATGACAATATGTTTCTATACATCTTTCTTCGTTCTTCGTTTCTACATATCTTTATTCGAATACCTACAACTTAATATTTTTATCATATAGGCTTTCCACGCTATAATTCACGTCCATACAAGTTCAATAAATCTTGTGGGTTATAATAAGCGATTGAACTTCAATAAATTATATTAAATTCAAACAAGAAAAGTTCGCTGACTTGCATACGTAACTTTGTTATCTAGGTAACGTCACTACAAAATAGCATATTTAGAATTCTTTTATACAAAAACATTTTATTATAAGCTTATTAGAAATATGTATTGTAAAGTTTGAAAGCTTTTGAAATAATGTGGTTGTTAAAAATACTGCGTAAAAAGTCATAGAGTTATTAATTAAGCGCATAATAAATACTAAATGTATACTAAGGGTGGTCACTTTAAGACTCTGAGTACGGGAGTAAGGTAGGTATACAAGAGTTTAGCTGTTACCTGCTACTTATGTAGGTATATATTTACAATAATATCGTAAAAACACTTTAAATTGTAATTAAATTTAATTTGCCCAATTTATAGAAATTTACCGTGAAATTAACTAAACGTAATTGCGTCGTAAAGGACAGTTAAGGATTTCATTTAAACTTAATTGATAACTCTAATTTCGGCCGAAGCCTTATTTCGCTTCTACTAGTTTAAATTAAAAAGAATTCGTAGAAATTGTGGAAGAATGCTTATGAAAATTCAACTTTCATCACAAGTTAATTTAAATAAATCAATATTTAATACTAGCTGTTATCCTCGACTCCGTCCATGCGGAATTAAAAAAAAATATAGCCTACGTGTTCTTCCAGATTATGTTCTTTGTGTATGCCAAATTTCATCGAGATCCAGTCGTTCTGGTACCTTCAAACAAACGACCCATCCATCTAAACATTCGTATTTATAATATTAGTAAGAAAAGCATATTTAAAATAATAAATATAATATAAAAAATAAAAACTATTAATTATTCGCACACAAACTAAAAGTTCAAAGTATTAAGATAATTTAGTTTTTATCAACAACAGGGGTGTATACGATAAGTGTCAATAACACTTTATCTCGTTTACTTTGCCCTCGTGTCATGAAGTACGTCATTCAATATGACCCGGTTTACCCGACTTCATCTCAACACTAAAGATCACTTTTAAACATTATTACACAGTAAAAAGTATTTTTTTAATAACCTTCAAGAAAACATAGAAATACAGTAAATCTTACTAATATTATAAATGTATAAGTTTAGATGAATGGATGGATGTTTGTTAGAAGGTATGTCTAAAACAAATCAACAGATCTAGATGACATTTGAAGATGTCAGTCATCTAGATGGTTTGTAGAACATCTGAAGAACACACAGGCCACTTATTTTTTTTGTTTTACTTTCACGAGGACGAAGTCGGGAACGACAGTAAGTTTCAAATAAAAGTAAACATCATCATCATCATCACCTCACTATACGTCTCCACCGAGGTGCTCGGAGCCTACCCTAAGTTAAGGGTGATTAGGTGTGAAAAGTCAACAGAATGCTAAAATTCAAACACATGTTTCAATCAAGAATTATTCTTAATTTTTAGGGTTGCGTACCTCATAGGAAAAAAACGGAACCCTTTTTGGATCACTTTGTTAGTTTTCTTTTTCGTTGGTTTTTATCGTAAATGTATCGATCATTACTGAAGCGGTATTTAATATCGTTTAAATATAAATTTGCCATTTTTATTATAAAACGCTTTTGTATTCCGTTTGAGTGAGCATAAAAATTTTCAAGTGGGTCAAGCTGAATACTTCGCGTTTATGTTCCGGGCGAGCCGGGACTGTGCTGGGCTGCTGCCAGATAAATATACCTCGATAAATATACTGAAACTGTGTTCTAACTATTGTTTTCTTTAATTATCATACAGGGTGTCCGGAAATGACGTGTGCAACGGAGTACCATAGATTTTTTTGGTCGAAAATATGAAGAGTTAACTCAAATTACCTCTATTCAAAAGAAATCTGTGGTACTCTGTTGGACACGTCATTCCCAGACACCCTGTATATGTCCTTTAGCTCATAAAAGTGCTACAAATTAATTGTCATTAATTCAAAGAATAAAATAATTAAATTAAATGATAAAAACTTTGACTATGATACAAAATGCCTCAAAGATCCATTTACCACAGACAGGTCTCGACCCGTAACCGTGCTACGACGTAGACGCTCTACGCCGCCCACAGTGCATAACGAGTAATGACGTCTAACTACGCAGCGAATTTACCATTTTGCTTTAATTTAATATGATTTTATTACGTATTCAGAAGGTTATATTTTAAGCAAATAGTAAGTAGATTATGTAATTATTATTAATAATAAGCCTGTATATAATTGTCGCCTTAAGAGTCGTTTTGTGCTTATAATCCCTTACACCAGATGTCTCGAACTAAGTCACATTCTAGACCTAATTTTAATATTATACAAGTGGAAATAAACCAACACTTGTATTAAGATTGGAAGCAAAAATACTTTTAATTCTGGATTTAAATCTTTCCTAAAATGTAGATTTATTAAACTCGTATCTAAAAGAAAGATTTGCATCTAATTGCCTTTAAGAAAAACTGATATTTCTTAGTAATTTTATTTTAATATAACTTCTATTATAATCCAGAGCAGTTATAATGAAACTTTTGATACGATTATTGTAAAAGTTTGTGTAAAAAAAGTTTGAGCGAATATTTTTACGAAATTTTTGATTAATAAAATTAAGGTCAAAAGTAGGTTTTAGATAATGACAATATAAGTTAATCCTTCGAAATGAAATTCAGATGAGTATTTTAATTTAACATAAAAAAGTCACCTGAAATTCATTATTTTATATTTTTAACTAGCCATCGCCTTCGACTTCGTCCGCGCGGATAATATAATTAGTAGTCTATATGGTCATTCAGATTATGCTTTACAACTATGTCAAATTTCAGCGAGTTCCTTCAAGCTATTTTGGAGATACTTTCAAACAAACTATACATCCATCACATTCGCATTTATAATATTAGTAAGATACTAAGAATTAAAGTCTTTATAGCGTGTAATTTTCTCAACAAACGACAGAATTCTAACACTGAGTTTCCACTTCCATTCTATTTATAAAAAACATATCGTTATCTCTATTATTTTCAATAAGTATGAAAGAGAAACTCGCACTCTCAATTAAACCCAATTATGTATAAAAAATATCTTATAATACACTATCTATTTATAAAGATGTCATTGTTAAAGTTTGTTTTATTTTACATTTTTTTTCTGCTTCAACTTGAAACTCTTTTTATGATAGTAGAGTAAGTACGTCTGAGAAACAAACGAAGCTCAAACAAACTCGTAAAACAAACAATATTATTGCCGTTTGCAAACGAAACGAGTTAAATTTTGTTGACCTTGTTTAGTTGAATTATATTTAGTTAATATGTATTCATATTGTCACAACCTTTGTTACAATGTTTTTTAGAAATACTAACGACTTAACTTCTTAGTATTGAAGTAATAAATATTATATTTTAAATTAGAACACACAGTTGCAAAATTTCAAAGATTGGTCGAGTAGTATCGGAATTCATCCGACGTAAAAAACACATTTTGTAATTTTACGTTTAAATGAATACCTCACGAGTGTTAAGTTTAAATTCATACTATGAGATTATTGTACCTTTATTTAATTCCAATAATATCAATATCAAATTTATAGGTACCTAAACTACAGCACAAAATCTAGGCGAGAAAGGGAGGTGTTTTGTAGAGTTCAATTCCTAGTTTTGTCACTGACAACACTAAATGAAATTTAGAAAATCGGCTCGCCCTCAGCAATTACATCTAGATTCTATCTTACTTCTTACTAATATTATAAATGCGATAGTTACAATAATATCGTAATCTTGTGAAACATTTGATCGTTATTTCACGTTTGTCTTTTGTTTCACTGTCAATTTACCGAAAGACAGAAGAAAATGGACTCAAAATCGATGTTAATTTTAAAGCTACGTAGGTTGTGACTATGAAGGGCAAGGCCGCCATTAAATTTTACTGCTTTTAAGATAAATATCTGAGCGCACTTTACGAATAAATGAAGATAAGTAAGTTTTAAAAGCGTTTCGGAATAGTGAAAATGTAACTTGATTTATATTTTACGACTAGATATTTTAATGTTTTGTCTATTGAGTTAATTTAAGCATCATATCTTGGTAATATCATCCCTGAACTGTATTCATGGGCACAATTTCTAATAGTATTTTCTAAAATAAAAAGTATAAATAGAATCCATAGATAAATATAACATTTAACAATGTATTTCCAAAGATAACAATAATCGCAATATTGAATAATGTGCCAAATACCAGGCCAGAATTTTGTAAATAATTCGAAACAGAGAAAAAAAATTACTCAAATCTCAAACATTACACTTAACTATTAGTTTTTTTTTTATTAGAGAAGGGGGCAAGCGAGCTGCGTGAATACCGAGGTGATCAACGACACCCATGGACATCTGCAACACCAGAGGAACTGCAGATGCATTACCGGCCTTTAAAGAAATGTTATGCTCGCTTCTTAAAGGTCCCTAAGTCTTGGTTTGGAAAATTCGCTGAGGCCAGACCGTTCCTCTTTGACTGATTTAATTCGTTTGTTTTAAAAAAAATAGAAACTGCATTGAGTCAGGAAATAACCAATTACGAAATGAGACAATAGAATCAGTGGGAGTTACGTAGGACGCGTTAATTTCAGAGCGGCGTAGTGTTGAAGTCAGCAGTTAATATTGAAGCAGGAAATCATTAGCGAAGTTGCCATCTAGTGGATAGAGAAATAAAACAATAGCTTTACTAAGCCACGTAGACCAAAACGTCGTATAAACTTTACGGTCTTAAAAACTTTAGGGTTTTTTTTAACCTGTATGAGAGTATACAATAGTTTAGTTGAATATTAATTAAAAAGTCTAGATAAAAGCATCTCTAATGAGACTACAATTATGGGAGAATATAACGTATTGTGTTATAATCAGTTTGTCACTAATCTTGTATATCCATCGTCAAGTCTTTAGAACAGACGAATATTGTTAAGCTTATTAATTATTATTAATTAAATGTTATCAACAGTTTTGCACATAATCATTGGAATTAAAATTAACAGCCTCTAACAATGTCCAAGATTGATAAATCTACTTACGATATATTAAGAAGTTTTCTCGTGATTGACTAACAAAAAAAAGTTTTGGTACAGAAGACACACAGTACTGTTTGCTACATGACAAATGTTACTACCGATTTTAGAACAAGTCATGTTGACTTACCATGGGTTTCTGGGGCTGAATATCTCAGTTTAAAACTCTGTTATCACTTTCAAAGATAGTGACAGTGATGACGATAAGTTTTATCTAGAGATTTTAGTCTGTAAAAGCCATGGTTATAGATGTAAAATATCGTAGAGACATTTTCAATCATATATTTTTCAAACAATGTACGTCGTAATACAAAAGCTAAAGTTGTCCGTAACACGTATTGTGTAACTTGAAGCCCGATAAGTAAGGCTTTGATATTGAACACCGCTGGAGGACGGCGACAGGAATGTTTTCTATTATTACCAACAAAATGGCTATTGTCAAGTAGGTAAATTAAATTGCGTAATATTTCATTCATAAATCAATAGATTGCTTAATAAACGTTCTTTTTTTAACAAAAGATATATTTTTTATTTATTTTTTGGTTAAAACATCAACGATGATAAAACACTCTAAATAAGATGTGAACGTTTTCTCGAACTAAGGAATCCTTTAACTAGGATTGTGGGTCCAAAATAATACAATAGTCAAAGAATTCTTACGTCTGTATCAGCTTTAAGAAAATATATTTAAAGAAAAGATTTTTATAAACCATAAAATAGATGAAAATTATATTTGTTACATATAAGACAAAAGAAACCAAATTTTTTTACTTTAACAACGAAACTGCGCATTGTGATTAACTCAAAAGCTAAACAGATAAAATATGTTAAAACAAAGACAAAATAGAGTCTAAAAACGAACTACGTGATTAAAATGATGAAATTCAAAATTAAGAATTCAGATTGAATTACGAAGAAAAAATAATCCATAAACAATATACTTACAAGATTCGATTGGTGCGATATCTGGACCATCATGAGGCATTAACATCTTCATTGTTATAGCCCCGGGCAATACGCTGCTAGAAACCGACACTTTGAATACTTTTCTGACCGACTGGTATAAGAAAAATCCTATTTTCTCAATAAGTCAAAGGTGATGCGAGCTGTTGTCACTACGATATTGCACTATCGATTAAGCTTTGAAATTGGAAGGTACACGCATGCGCGGTACCAACATATAACGCATGCGCGGTGAACAGCCTTTTCTAAGCCTGCCTCAAGTACGGAAAGACGTCATTTGACAGTTGACAGTAAAATATTCTTATACCCACCGACTCACTGTCTTTCAGAACACCATAGATATACTCTCTAGATATAAAACCAAGCACAGATTAGGGACCATAGATATTTTTTGTTAATCTTTCTTATGTTTGATTGCTGGGTGAATGGATGGATGGTTGTTAGAAGATATCTCCAGAACAGTTCAACGGATCTCGCTGAAATTTGGCACAGATGTAGAATAAAATCTGGAGGAACACATAGGGTACTAATTTAGTTTTTATTTTTAACTTCGCGCGGTCCGAGTTATAGTAAATATATAAATAATGCGCGTAAGGTTTGAATGAAAAACTAATTATAACGGTTTTATTATAAATTAATTTTTTTATTGAAAATCGTAAATAAATTTACATAAAATATTAATAAATATTACATCACGTGTACAAGGTATTCTGGATGTAAGTAGCACGGCGACTTGTGTACTCGTTTGTATGTTTGTGTGAATGTTTGTTTGTGGAGTGCGATGTCTAGTATCCAGCCAGCTCGGCGAAGGTCGAGTCCATTTCGTCGGCCAAGCTCTTGTAACGGTCCTTGTTGATGCCCAACTCGTCTAAAGAAATAATTATTTGTTAATTAGAATTACGTCCAAATATTTTTTTTATTTGATCACATATAGTAATATACTACGCCTTTGATATATTCAAAAATATATGCTTTAATAACTAACCTACAAATGTAAAACACACATAACCTAAAAACCGTACAAAAGAACATAGATTAATATTAAAAAAGAGTAAAGAATCTTTAAGAAATCAGTTAAAATAGACAAAGAGATGTAAATTTTAGTATAGAAATATTAAAAAAAAATGTTAAGTACTTGAAGAAACAAAGTAAGATGACGTGGTCTACTTATTACTAATTATAACCTCACTTTTTTTCAAATTATCTATAATGAAATTGATGATAGTTATTAATATTTTAATTTATTAAAACATATTAAAGTTGAGATATTTTTTTTTAAATTATACTTTTATTGCTAAGCTATTAATATTTTTTTTAAATAATATTGTTTATAATGTATATATTAGATAAAAAATATTATATACCTTGGAAGAAATGGTCCACCACGGTAGCGTAAGCATAAGACATGTTAATAACAAACATAAAAAGCAAGGACTCCTATACTAAGCGATTTCTAAAGGATCGTCAGAAATATGATCAAAAAGTCGACGAATCCCCTAAATATCAGCACAGGAGTTAATATGTTAGTTTGAGACAGAATATTATTTGCATTGTTGAAAGACGGCTCAAAATGAATTGCTACTTATATATAAATTGGAAACTAGTATAGAAATACATACATTCAGATATCGTGTTCAATTTAAAAAAAAACTCGAATTTATGTTATCAGTTTTGTTAAATTACAAGAACGATTTTTTACACGGGAAACAAATTTTTAATTCGTACCTCTTCGGAAGTACGCAGAAATACACATAATCACGCGGAATACACATAATTACGCAGAATTGCACATAATTACGCAGAATTACACATTATTACGCAGAATTGCACATAATTACACGGAATAATGTGTTATTTTTCAGTAAACAATAGATAATTTAAACGAATTAAATTCAGAGCCACAGATTATATATCCGGAGGTATGTAAGATCTTTGGGTAGATGTATTTTTTATGAGGACAATATAAAGGTTGAAATCTTAGTAACGATGTCTTAAACTAAGTGCTAAAGGGTCGTTAGTATCCTGTGAGCTCGGCGAATGTGCCATCCAAGTCATCGCATATCGCCTTGTATTTCTCCTTTTCGTTGAACAACATGTCTGTAAAATTGCGGTAAATAAATGCGAAGAGAATTAGTGCTGCGGAACTGAGTAACCCTGAATATGATAGACAAAGGTATTATGGATAGAATGACAAGGTTTTTTGGATACGTTCAATTAGAATTTTTAAACAGATTAATAAATTTTAATTTTTATATAGTTTCTTGTTTTACTTTATTTATAACGATAATTAAAATGTCTTGAATGTTATTGATTTTTGGTATAAAAAAAATAGGAAAAATTATCTCAAATATCAAGAGCATTCAAGAATTTTCGTGATTTTAAAAAGAAATCAATATAGTTATTTTATTTTAATTAGATAACATCTAAAAGTCTTTTAGCTTTTGCAAGAATTATTTTAGAAGATTTATAAAGCACGTTACATCAGACGAAAAAGGGTTACATCTCTTAAGCGATTTCAAAATTCATAAGAGATGCAACTCTTTTCAACAGAGGGATGGATTTTAGTGACGTCATACCTTCGAGCCTGTCGACTTCCTTCTGTAACTTCTTGACGGTCTTCTCTGCGTATTCAGCACGGGCTTCTGCTTCCTTCAGTTTCGAGGTGAGGGTCTTCAGCTGCTTCTTGAATTCTTCTACGCGCTGGTTGGCCTTCTCTTCTGATACTTCCAGTGATTTGAGGGAGTTACCTACAACCTGTGTGGTGGTAAAAGAAATATTTAGAAGGGATATTAGGTTACAGTAAACTTCGACGTGATGTAATTTAATGTGGTTAAGACGTAATGAAATGCTTAAAAATTATTAATGTCGAGATACGAGTACTTTTCAGCCATAAAATTAGTGGTAACATTTTTATTAATTCTTACAGGAAAATCAACTTCAATCTAAAGTGTGTTTGTGATATAAACGATATAGTACTTGTTCTTCTATATTAATTAGATAAAGACCGAGTACAAACCTTTAATTCCTCCTCAAGTTCTGAGATCTTAGCGTCACCGGACTTGACGCGGTCCTCAGCCACTTCCAACTCGTCTTCAACGAACGCCAGCTTACGAGATACCTTCACATACAAACAACAATTTAGTACGTCAAATTTACACCTAATTTCGCTAAAGCGGAGAAATAGTTGGCCATATACATCTGCCAAAAGTCATGGCTGTAGATACGTTGTCTTTATAGACAGAAGAGGGCCAGAAATGAAACGGATATTTCCCTTTCCTATATGTACCCTACTCCACCACATTCACTTTCCTTCTCTTCCACTCCTTATTAGAAAAGACCATTAAATTTCACTGTGTCAATTAGCTATTATCAAAGTATCTAACCTCGTCAGACTTGCCGTCAGCGTCCTCAGCGAGAAGACGCGCTTCCTTCAGCTGGTTGGTGAGCTGGTCCATGCGCTCCTCATCCTGTTGCGCCCTGTTCTCCAATACCTTGCACATGCTGCACACACACATTTGTAAGGATAAGTACACATTCTTTATGGGTGCTGCTGTAATTCGTCTACTTGACTTTGTCTAAACTGACCGATAACCATGAAAATTAGTGTGACATGTTTGTGAAATCGTTGGATACTAAACAAAAAACACCTTTACCGAACAAGTTTGACAAAAAAAATTAAAAAAAAAGAAGAAGATACAGTATAAGAAACTAAACAGCGGGCAGCGGTTACCGGTTGTTCTCGTCAGCAGCCTGCTGTGCCTCGAGCAGTTTCTGCTGGGCGGTGCCGGAGCGCTCCTCGGATTTCTCGAGGTCCTCCTCAATCTGCTGCACCTTCCTGTTGAGCGAGGCGACCTCCGCCTCAGTGGCGGCCAGCTGCTTCTCCTTCTCTTCCAGGTCCTTGTTCGCCTGCTCCAGCTTGTTCTTGTTCAGGATCAGGTCCTCCTCTACCTGGGCGAGCTTCTTCTGGAGCTCACGGACTTCCTCGTTCACCTACAAGATAATTTGTTTATTAGTTATTTTATTTGTTAAAATAACAGTTTCTGAGCAAACGAAATATTTCGTTCTGTTTTTCACTTTAACGTAGATTACATGGAGTAATAAGTCTTAAGTTGCAAAAATAAGTTTTTTAAATTATCCCTCATTCAGAATAAAAATTATTTACCACTAACTAAACTAACCGAGAAAAACTGCCACAGAGTACTTTGACAATTTCCTAGTGTTGATTTCTCGTACTAAATCTACACTAAACAACTGCCTTTGTAACCGTTGGCAGTAATACTGATTTGTATGGCAAGTCGTGAAGTCACCTTCTCTGCGCGGAGGTTGGCATCCCTGGCCTGTTGTTCGCAGGTATCCGCCTTGTCCATGGCATTGTCCTTCTCCAGCTTCATCGCTTGCATCTTCTTCTTGATCGCGTCCATGGTGGCGGTTTTGTTCTTTCTTTACGGTCCCGATGAAATATACGCCAGCTACTGGCCTGAGAACAAAAGAATCAATAAACTTTGAATTGTTAGCTATTTATTTGCAGGAAAGTTATCAAATTAAATTATTAGCCTTGTGATCCGAGTATTAATTTATGTTTTGCTCATATAAGAAAACATAGAAATAACTAAATTTTAGTGTTTGTTAAAAGTTATTGATGTTTCTAAACTTATCATTTACGTCCTGGTAAAATTCTTTAATTAAATAGAATAAAATACCTAACCTAAAGTTCATTACTTCCGATTTGATTTCAAATACAAGGAACCTATCTTTCTAAGATTAATTACTATTTATTAATTACGTAGTTTCAAATTACATATCCAATAATTTGTTTATAAAACAGTTTAAAAATAATCTTTTGTAACCGAACAATTCTTACACGCTTGGCTTCAAGCCAATACAATAAACGCAGGGCTGCATCACTAAAGATCGGTTAATCCTCGTGGTATTAAAAAGTAACCTATAATAAACTTTATATCTTGCGACCCAATTTACTCCGCCCTATAAAGTGAGGCTATATTTTACTCCACGATCGAAAGGTGAAGTTCGTCGTTTTATATTGAAAACGAAACATGTGCCGTATTTTCGTATCATTATTTAGTAATAATTCATAATTTAATATAGAACCATTGTAATTTACACAATAGCTGAATTAATGGAAATTAATGAATGTAAAGCCAAAGGAACATTTATGTTTACAGCTTGTCATTGAAAGAAATGATGTTTTGTGTCAGTGTTTCGGCAATGGAAGCCTTCTTTAATATTTATTGTTAAAAAAAGTCCGTCTGACTCAACGTTGGTGTCTCAGGGGTTAAGCCCTTATACTTGTAATCTGCACTGTTTAAGTCTCGCCATATATCAATGTGGTTTTCGATTTATATATGTACATTTATCCGACGTTCTTACGGTAAAAGAAAACATCGTGATGCCATCTGTACAGTTCTGCGTAGAAAGATATCTGTGAAGCCAACCCTGGGCCAACGTGTAGTGTGCTGATGATGAACACTTTCATTCAGCACTCTAAGTTGAGAATTATCTTAGAACAAATAAGTATTTATATATTTGTCTTTGCTACGTAACAAATTTTATAGGTTTAAAAACACGATATTTTTTTTATAAACCAGTATGTTTTAACGAGGGAGGAACGATTGCAAAAATAAATGCCAGAAGAGATGACGCTGCGGTATTTCTGGCCAGTTCTCAATCGTTGCCTATAACGTTCACAGAAATAACACACGCTCCCGCGCAAACTAACCTAACAACTGCTGAACTGAAACCGATATTGTGATATACATGATAGGTTTTTCTTCAGTCAATAAAATATATAAATTAATCTTTATTTTACAACTTGTATTTCAATTGATGATAGATTCTCGTACTTTTATGAAGAAAGCTTTCGATTTCTAAAACGAACAATATGCAAATAATGGTTATTTTCACAATGGTTACAAAAGTATTGGCATTATTTATTTTATATTTTATTACAATATATGAAACGGTGGTTTGTAAAGTACATTTGATTCAATTTGATTATCATCGGATTTATTCACACCGCAGGATTCCAGATAATCGGGATCCCAACTGACGTATGTTACAGATAAAAAAAAACTTAACGGCCATTACGTATTGTTTCAATATTTCATTTTAAAAGTAAATTAAATTTAAATCAATCGATTTTAACACATTAATATATAACGATTTATATATTATAAATGCATTTTATTATGTGTGAGCTGTCTACTCCCGTCCCAAATTGTTAGTTCGCGTTAGATGTTTGATATCTTGCCAAAATATCTTCGGCCACTACTCAGTCACCTGTTGTCAGACTACACTAAATTGCTGATAAAATCCAGACATTTACGTGTTGCTAGGAAAGTAATATTTCCCTTAAAAATATATAATATATATATATAATAAAACTTAAAAAAAGGTTTTTTAGCGTTTTCTTTATGTCATTGTCGATGCATTAATTCATGAAGTTTAATACTAGGTTTTATTTTTTAAGAATGGCCACGTGCTGGTCAAGTGTAGACTTGATTTAACTCCTACTTTTGCTTTATTTTCGTCCAGTGTTTTAACGTATTAAAATTTAAAATACGTGTCCTTGACCATTAGGCAAGGCATCAACTTTCTGTTTGTCTGTAGTGGCATTACGTTTTTGCGACAAGATAATTAAAAATTTAACGCAAATTGAATATCTTGTTCGTACACATATCAAATCTAAGTTTTAAAATAAATTATCAATTTAATTTTGAAATTAATAAAAGCAAAGTTTCTTTGCTGTATTTAAGTTAAAATTATTATAAAATATTATAATATATTCTGACTTTAACGATAATGTTACAAAAAATTAAATAAAAAAAATAATGTTATAAGTTTTGAAAAGTCCTTAATTCTTTAACTTCAGATCAAAGATTCTTAAATTAAAAAAATAATAATAAAATTATAAAATAATTAAAAAGTATGTTAATTTCTACGATGATGTAAGAAACATTCGAATCCGCTACGATCTATGTTTGGTATGCGTTATATTATCTGTTGCTGCCGCTGACGTCGGCGAAGTTTTAACTGGACCCAAAATATCGTAAAGGCGCACATTCCATGATATATTCGCCAGCGTTCTAAATAAAATTTGGGTAATTTCTTCACGCTGTTAAATAAAAACTTTTTATTCATTCCGACATGCCGCAAATAGGTTACATGGCAAAAGCGGGGCGTGCGGGGGCCGCGGGAAACAGCCGCGCGGGCGGGCAACACTATTTTCAGCGAGGTCGCGCGCGCGCTGAAATCCGAGTCACATCGTAGAAAAACTTAGCACCTGAACTTTTATCACTGGAATATTCTTTAGCACTAATATACCCACACTTTTAAGCGAGCACACCACAAGACGCTTCCAGTTTGGATACCGCACGTCACAATCGAGGGTCACTTGTTGCTGATGGAAGAAGTTGAGGTTATCCGATACGAGTATCCAGGCTGGAGGCGGCGGGTTGCGGGACTCACCTCACGAGCTGTTCACACGGCGGAGCGACACGCACTGCGCCCTCGCGTTCTCTCTGCGCGCCGCCGGACTATTTTCGGTGCCAAAAATCCAAGACTTGGATCAGCGCGACGGGTGGCAAGAAATCCCGTTGTCACGCTCGCACCCGCGCAAGCGCAACTATTCTTGCAGCTTTCTCATGAATGATCAAGTTTGAAATCAATAGATGGAGACTTAAACAAACCTCAGACGAGAATTGCATTTCTATCAAAGTATGACGTAGAGTAGGGTGGGATCTAAGCTAATTTAATGCAGCATTTTTACCACATCATGACCTAGTATGGAGTGTGAGCTTAACAAATTTGACGTATCACATTGTAAGATGTTAAGATCAATGTCAAGTAAGCAATTTTTAACGGTCGATTCCATTTTAATTATATAGAGAAAGGAGTACAGTTTTCAGAAAAGTTGGGACCCGATATCATATTGAAGGAATCATCATTAAGAAAAGCCACACCCAAAATCTATGTGACTGTCTACTATTAATAGTAACTTTTATTACTGAAGCTGAAAATTAATCAGTTTGCAAAATATTATCTAGTCACAAGTGACCGTCAGCTAATTTAACAATGTATTTTAGGTGAAAGAATTTGTTTCACGTCGTTATTTTCAATGTTTTCCATTGGACCGATTGGATCCATAGAAAAAAAATCCCCATTAGGCCGATCGTCGTTTTAAATTTGCAGACAATATTAAAACTGCGAAAGGTGATGTGTCGAATCGTTTTTAAATTATTAAAATCTTTTCTACATACAGCGTGACTAACGCCCGTAACCCAAAGGGGTTGGCAGTGACCTCGGACCTCCATTTACCGCGGTCCTGACACACCTCTCTAGTCTTTCCACATTCATACATTTACGCATACGTGTCAGTTTCTTCTAATTACACGCATGTTGTAAACATGATCTGAGCGCTGTTTTGCGTTACTGTATTTGGTCAGTTCTACAAACTGTGTAATGCAGTCGTATGAGCCTCATTAGAGATTAAGCAAACAGAAAAAAATGCGTTCCAACTATCAATTTTTTTATTCGAATCCACTGTCACTGCCAAATTACTACACGTTTAGACTAGTACTATACGTTTTGCGGAGGTGTAATTGAGCTTAATGCCTGGTTTACATTATGCCGGTACAGTAAGACAGTTGCGTTAAAAAACAGCACTGGCATAATGTAAATATTAACTGGCGCCAGCGATCCAACAGTCCGCCATGCCAACCAAACCAGGCATATTACTGCATGGGGAGTCGTTCGATTGCTTTCCCAAATTTCTCATGACGCTTATTATTTTTTCCAATTAACTATTTACTAAAAGAAGTAAGACGGCGTGGAGGCAGCTGGTCGACACGGCCGTTAAAGCGTACCAGGACAAGCACGACCTTCAGTAATGAAGAATACGAAGAAGAAGAAGAAGAAAAGAAGTAAAATAAAACTCTCATACATTTTTTATAAATGTATATTTCATCAAGTTGGAAAAGTCGCTTGAAGCTGTGACGCACTTTGTTGAATAAAAAAGCTACAACAGTTTTATCGAAGCAAAATATTAAATAATTGTTACTGTAACGGATCGACTAACGCTAAATATACAAACTTATAACTACAAGAGAAAATGGTGTAATGCATTTTGTAAACCCATTAGAATTGGTAGTGCGACCTTGAATTTCCAGTTTCAAACAACGGGTAAAAAACTTTTTTTTTTTATAGATAGGGGTGTTTTTTTTCTCCAGTAGAAGTTATAGATAACAGTAAAGTTCACAGCTCTTATTAGTATTTAGTAAAATGTTCACTTAAAAATTGTTGCTATCAAAATTCCATTCTAATCCTTAATATCTTTCATCTCGTTTATAAATGCCTGATAAAATTATGAACTAATCCAATTCTTTTTTAAGTTTAACATTTGCATAACATCGATTTCTCATGTTCTAAAAATATTCATAGAAAATTGTTTAAATATTACAAAATAGGATATACGAAGACCTTAATACTATCCCACTATTGCCATAAGAAAACTTGTAACATTCAAAAGCATTTCATTAATACAGATTATAGAAAAATGTAACATTTTTTTTTAAAAGATACGTTTTGACACTGGCAGTGGTTAAACTAAATCTACCCACAAAATTTAATTCAATAATTGAAAATGTACTTCAATTATTATTTTGAAGTTACAAATCGACATATTTCTTAAAAACATATTTTTTTTTCGAATACATTTATATTTTCATAGTCAAATAATACCAAAAGAGTCGATGTTATACTTGTGTAGGGCAAACTATATTTGAGCATAAAAATACCTTTACATTTGAAATTAAATGTATTTATTTTAATTTTTACCAAATAAACGTCATTAAATCATTGCAATTTAAAAATCTTCCAACTCTGGCAATTTGTACTTTTGCTCCAACAAATGTCTTCGCTCATTTTTATTTTTCTTATAAATTTTATAAAGCTTCATTTTATTCAATGATTGTAACGTATTTACATTTCTAGAGAATATTACTCTAGTATATGTCTATATTCAATTATTAAAATGCATTTCCAATTAAATTTCCAATCTGTATAATGTCAACGTTAAAGATAATAAAAAAATGTCATTTAAACTTATGATTGACGTGATAATTACATTGAGAAATTCAAAACATTAATTGCTTTTGAAAGATTAATATTTAATAAGAACAAAAACGATACATACTTTATAGAAGAGATATACTTATTAAAATATAAGTGAAAAGTGCTTTGCAATAATACTTTATAAAATAATGCAATTAAATCAATCCATTTTTCTGGTGAGCCGAAACATTTTATCACATTACGCCATTCAGAAGGCACCAGATCCAAAACATTTGCATAAAGTGCATAGTGCAGTATGCAAACAATTCAAGCAACATACTTTTGGCGCGAAGATACCCGTCGACTCACACAAGATGGCGCCCGTTCACAAAATGGCCGCTCCAGCGTTAGTAGCCGGAGAGATCCGCGAACGTTTGATCTACTTCTTCAGCTATCGCTTTATATTTACTACGCTCTTCCACGACCTCGTCTGTTATTAGTAAGAATTATTTTAAGTTAGTAACAAAATCAACAAAACTAGTTTATTATGCAAATTTTATTAAGTCATTCTATTAGAGTTCCATTTCGAATATATTGAATTTATAAAAAAAAACGGATATTAAAATAGCAAATTACCTTCTAAATTTTAAGTGGCCCATAAAATTCATGCTAAATCTACTCCTAAAGCGTGCGCTAAGAAATAATACTCAAACTACACCAACTACCGTTGCTAAATACTTACCAATAACTAAAGAAAAAAAGCAATAACTAAAACTATACTTATTACGTTACCAGACATTCATAGCGACTAAACCAATTCCGTTTTGTAGCTTTCTTTTTTACATTTTACAAGACAAAATATTTCATATCGAAACAGGGGTTGGTAAAAATATCCTATATACTGCATAAAGGCTTTGTAAAAAAGTAGTGTATAATATTATTTAGCTTGTTATGAAGTATCCTATTAATGTAATAGAAAAAAAAACTAACTGAAGAATATAATAGTGGAAGCATGTGTATTTGTAATCGTGTAAGCTAAGTTATAAGGAAATATGAACAAAAACAATAAATAAATATAAATAAATTATTTATTATGATAATTCGAAAATAAATACCGCCATAAAAACTATGGATTGTAATATTTTAAATTATAAAATATAAAGTAATATACGTCTATACAGATATTGTGTGAATCGCGGGCGGATGGTGTTGCCAAGGCGAGATGCTGGAGTGTGCTTATTCCTTGAGGATGAGCTCGACGAATGCGGTGTCGAGGTCGTCTCCGATGTCCTTGTACTTCTCCTTCTCAGCCACAAGCTCGTCTGTATACACGTGCGTATTAGATTCATACCCACATATTATTTCCCTGTTTAACTATCTGTATTTCCCTAATAGTAAGTTAATAACGTGTACTTACTGGCAACACAGGTTAACTGTCAAAACATTTCATGCAAATGATATATTTTATAAATGAAATGCATATATTTATGTACACATGGAGTGTAGTTTTTTTTTAGTTGCCAGAGTACATCGTTACAATATTAATTTCCAATATTTCGTGGATAATCCGCGCGCTCTATAAGTCAAGTTTTTAAGCGAATTAGTGGCAACATAATGCTAGAGAGCGTGTGGTAGAAGTAAATAAAGTTTGCTTACATGTCGCGTTCCTTTTCACTTCGAAGCCATGCGTCGCTCTCAACTAAATCAAAGCTTTCGCTCAAAACGTCGAAAGGCACTTCACAACGCACTCATGCAAATTGTAAGGAAGCCTTTTTTCTGAATGTTGTGAAAGTGGGAAAGCGAGTTAATGGGTAATGTTGTAAAGATATTTCAATGCAACATGTGTAAGAGTTAGTCTTAAAGAGTTTTCAGGGCATGGAAACACGTCTATAGGAAGTGTATAGAATGTTTCGTTCTCTAAATGGGTCTTCGACTTCCGTGCTGGTTTTGTTTGGATTGTATGCGAAAATCAGTGCGGTCGGTCATCTAAAAAAGGAAATTAATCGGCTCGCTGGCAAGGCCGTAGTCCCAAAGCGAGTCCGCTTAGCGAAACACTATTCCATCAGCTATCTTTCCATTGTTTATTTTCGAAGTAACATTAATAAGACCATAATGGTTTAAATTAGGACGCTTAAATGCTGAGCTATACAAAACGTTTTAGTGGGCTATAAGTTTAGGGTTCTGTAGTTTCAACGGGGACAGATTCAGCTGGAGGTGGAGGTCTGCGAGCCTCTTCTTCCTGTCGTTCTCTTTCTCTCCTCGCTTCTTCCTCTTGCCTCTCTTTCTCCCGTCTAGCCGCTTCCTCCATTCTCTCTTTCTCCCTTCTAGCGGCCTCCTGTTGCTGGGCGCGGTTCTTTACCGCGTTCTCCAGCTGCTTCGGCGTGGGCTGTACTCCGGGGATCAGTTCCACGACCGCGTCATCAATGTTATCTCCGATGTCGTTGTACTTTTCAATCTCGTTGATCAGGTCATCTAGAGCAGGTATTGGCAGTGAGCATGGTCCCCAGGTAATGTCTTAGGATTTTGGAATAGCATGCTATTCTCTGCATGCCTTGGGGTATGATTCTGACCAGTCTGCTCGAGGAGAACATGCTTTTATCACTGGGTTCCTGCTATTCTAGTATAATTAATCACACGAACATTACCGTGCCTTCTTGACTTCGGTATTCCTCCTCATGCCCTTGTTTTAGAATTTAGATCATTGTTATAAACAGAAATTCTAATTCTAGATTATCCATCCATAATTGGTATTTATATATTTTTTAATAGGGGATTAAAGATGGGAAAAATATGAGGTATAGCTGATAGAATCGACACATTAGTAACTTCACACAACATCAAGGTAACACGCGGATTAGTAAAAAAAGACAAACGAAAAATAATAATATTATATATTTATAAACACTTGTGTTAGAATATTCTTAAAATCATTAATTTATTTTTCTTCACGAACTTATCTAGGTGTATAACATCTTAAGACGGATTCATCTCGATTGATCGATTTTTTTTTTCGTTTCATAATAAATGTGTAAGACATAGCACACGGATTTGTCCGTTCTATCGAATTCTATGCAGTCACAATTAGGGATGTTGGACTTATGAAAATATCGATATTTATTTCCGATGTCATTTAATTCTGTTGACTTCGTGATTTTTTTTAAGTTGATTTAATTTTATAAAAGCAATATTTTTTTATTTAAAAAATACTTTTTATGCATGCTAAATTATATGAGACGGTAATAGGAAGTTATTTTATAGATTAATTATTGCCATACGCTGTTTGTAATTCACTAATGTTGCCATCATCGAATAATCTTATTCGATATCAGGTAAAATTTTGTAACATCGGAATAAATATCGATTTTTATTTATCATAGCTACAACCCTAGTCTTAGGACTTTAGGGAGAATTATTGCCAGCGCTATAAAACTGTACTTGTACAGCACTCTTACATGAAGTACTAGATTATATTACCTAGCATTTAAATTAAATAAATAAGAAAAGAACTCAAATTATGACACAAGTAAAGAATCATACTCGGAAGCAGAATATCAAAGAAGTTCGTACCATATCTTACAAAAATAGAAATACGCGTTACCGACACTCATTTAAATAAAAATATTTAATCTCTTATATCATAGTAAATAAAAGAATTCATAGTAAATAGCAAACAGTGCATTTCTATTAGTGATAATTAATTTTATAAATGTCAAAAAATTTAAATGGGGACACGACATAAATTGAATATACGAATACTGAGCCGCAGTTTTCTTAACATACCATATAATATAAATAAGTAAAAAATAATATAAATCGCATATTGGTCCACTTATTGGAATGTTGTGGAAAAGCAAATTGCCTTCAACCGTCGAAATGAATTCCATCAAAATACAGATAAAATTAGCAAAATGACTTTCTAAATGCTATATAAATATTATCTGCGTTCCAAACGAAAAATTGCACATGGCAGTGTAGTCGTAGCAATCACTCCTTGACAATAAAAAATAAAAAAAAAGCGGCTGGCAATTACTCTAAACCTAGAAACATCTAGTCGCTCGCTCGAATCACCACCAATTTATAGATTAAGGAATTAAGAATTGAAAACATTGTCTGGCAACACTGTCTGCAACATTTTAACTTCGTGCAGAATTTTATGGGCAGCTAGTTCGCAGTTACCTTGTACTATAAAAAAAGATGGAGAGTAAAGTTCGTAAGTTTGGGGGTCGATGATTCGAGCGGGGGACGTGGCGGGGAGGTGGGGGGTCGGTGTTCACATGTTCTGGATGTCGTGGAGCGTGGCCTCCATCTCCTCTTGCAGGAGTTTGCTCTTTTCGCGCTCGGCCACCAGGTCGTCTGCAAGGTCAGACGCGGCCACGGTCAGTCACACAGAGCACACAAAACATTCCGTGCAAACACCGAGGCTAGGCATAGACAACCATTAAACAACAAAATCTACATTCACTATACTTTTTTAATTAAATATTTATCAAATTAATTATAGGTTGTCTACCATACCTCCCTATTTGCAATAAAGGCACAGGCAAAAATTAAACATCTAAAAAATATAAAACCATGCATACAACGATAAAAACGACAAATAACCGAGCAATCTAAATAAAGTCATGCTTTTAAAAAATACGCACATAACTGATTTTCATTAAAAATAAAAAAGTTGAGAAACTAAAATCTTTGGAACACTAATATCAAATTTGAATATTACCAACGCTATGTGGAATTCAGTTATGTGCATTAATAACAACTAAAAACTGTTACTGATAAAAACAATAAGACTTAAGCGAGATTTTATAGCGCAATGAGAAAAATATGAAGCTCTAACTATACAATTAAGACCCGATCACTTGGTCTTTGAGCATCTGATGAGATTGCGCTTACAAAAAGCTTTGGTTATTTCAAAATCCTCGCAACTTGACTTGAGAGACAACTTAGCTATTCCCGTACCGGATAATAATGCGAACAATCTTCTGAACCTTGGAAACTAGCATCAGAAATCATTATTATTCATACGTATTTCCAGCTAATTGCAATATTTAAAGTGAAATCAAAAATTACTCATACATTCAATATACTAAATAACGTCAAATACTTCGTCATAAAATTATAATAAACTAGGTTTTTAAATATCTGCAAAAGGAAAATTGCTTTACCTTCAAGCCTGTCGACCTCCTTTTGGAGTTTCTGAACGGAGCGCTCGGCAAATTCGGCGCGCGCTTCAGCCTGGAATTTATTTTAAAAAAACATTAAAGCATCTGCACAAGGTCAAACAGCCTATTCTTTGACGACAAATAAAATTTATAGTCTATGATTCGTAATTTAAAAAAGAATTTAAAAATAAAATACTAAAGTTCAAGAACAAAGAATAGACTGTTTTTAAATATTCGATCAGCATGCAAGTCATTTAGTTTTGAATTTTATTTTTCAATGGTTATATTTATGTATTATAGAAAAAAGCTATATTTTCATTTTATTTTTTTAATCTCAAATTCCATTTGTTTAACTTCAAAAAAGAATTAAAAAAAATATAGTTGGCTATTGTAACAATGTATAAAACATAAAAAGGTTAATACAAAAGCAAAAGCGACACTAACACCCCATGCAATTTACCTTTGCCGAAAGCAGCTAAATACTGTGTAGATCGATTCACTAGAGAAATTAAATATAACAATATATACCGTATACCATATACCCAATTTAAAATGTTACAAACCGTGACATAATTGAGTGTTGCCATATAATAGAATATCCGGAACTTTGGTTGCCATGTTTAAAATAAAAAAGTGACAAGTTTTAAAATGTGTGCCAATTTTTACTTACTTTTATTTTATTTGCAGTATACGTGCCTGTGCTTTATTCAAAATTTATTTTAGTGAATTTAAATTCATTTAATAATTTAATAATAAAAAATATTTGTGAAAAAAAAAATTCTTAATAGAGAATTCTATAATTTTTAAGTAATTCATAAAGTTTTAAGACGTTTTTATTGTCTTTATAAACTATCAGATTATTCAGTAACATAAAACAAGATGGCGACCAAAGTCCGTGGCGTGGAGCGGCCGAGCGTAACTTACTTGCGTGAGTTTCTGCGAGAGGCTGTGAATCTTATCCTCGACGTGCTCCCGCGACGCCATCGCCTGGTCACACACACTCGTTACAGCCACCATTGGCCACCGACATGCTACCCGTATTGCTATTGTACGCTCATAAACATATGACCTTGAAATTACCTTCCCAAAGAAAAGGAGGTAGCTATAAAACTCTACCACAATATGAAGCAAAATGAATCAAACATCACATTATTCAAAGCGTACAATCACAACACAGCTATACATAGTACATAAATAGGTATATAAAGAAATTAATACACAAGAGGAACATAGAAAAAAAAGATATTTAAATACATATAATTTGAAGCACCAACCGCTGAGGCGCACTACATAATCCTACCACCAACGTACCCTTTACTAACTAGACAAAGATGAAAGCGATAAGACCAACAATTTACGTATAGCGAAGGCACTGGGGGCATACTCCCAATGCCGTGGCAACAAGAGCATCGACCAAAACCTCTATCTACCCTCTCTTTCTATCACTTTACCTCTTTCAGCTGTGCACTGAGGATTTTAACTTGACCTTCGTACGTTTCTTCTCTTTGCGTCGCCTGTGATTATTATTTTTAAAAATTTAAAACATCGATAACAAAACAAAACTCCATGCTGTATCATACAATGTTGCATTATTTTGTACTGGCAACACTGATAGATACCATAAAGTTAGGATAAAAACTAAAACAACAACTGTTAATAGGGATAACACAACATCTATAAATGCAAAAAGGAGGAGTATCGGAAAAAAAACTGCCTGCACTACGTGTTATGCCGGTTTTACATTATTATAGTAAATCGGGCATAGACTACGCTAGTGATGCGCGGGTGAATGCAGTTAGGGAAGCATACAACACTCGCTAATAAACCGATCTCGCTCGCTTTCACACCTCCTTTAGGCGGGTGGTGAGGGTTTTGATTTGGTTTTTGTACTCCTCCTCACGTTGGTTGGCCTGCGTGGAACATAACAATCTTACTATCTTAATATTACTAATATTATAAATGCGACTGTTTGGACGAATAGATGTTTGTTTGAAGGTATCTCCAGAACGGCTGCATAGATCTCGCTGAAATTTGGCATAGATGTAGAACAAGTCTTGACGAACACATAGGTTACTAAGTTTTTTTTTCATTTCCGCGCGGTTGGACTTGCGGGCGACAACTAGTTAACCCTATAATCATAGAGATTACATCACTAACATTGGCTGTGTATATAATCAACCATATATTACATCCTGACTATTTTGAATACTTCAAAATGGTTGGTGCATCATTCGGAAAAAAAAATCTTAAACGTCTAAAATACACATTTGTCAAGGACCGGTTGTGAAAATGGGACTAGACATATTATAAACTGACAGCAAATTGGAAACTGAACGAGTAGATCACAATGGAGAGAAAAACTACCCTTTTCTCATTACAGATGTCAGCATGATCTAGAGTGAATAGCATTTTATATACCACAACAGATATACAAAAAACACTATACAAAGTACAAAGTAATCAATGGAGATAATTCAATACTATTTGTCAAGAGGACTGGCTTTATTTCAAGCTGCAGATGCATTCTAATTAAGGAGCTTATTTTCAATTCCGGCACAAGTGAGGAATAATTTTTTCATTTTTATAAAAACAGGCAACACTATACTTTTAACGCTGGCACCACTAAGAGCTTACAGTTTTTCTCCCCAAAGTAGATTCATTTCCTTAGTATATAAAATGTCTAGTCCGATTACAAACTGACAGACCAACTGATCTTTGACATTGGCTTACTTTAAAGTATAGTAAAATTACTAAAAATAAGGTATCCATACCTTCTCCTCGGAGACTTCCAGGGATTTCAGGTTGTTACCAACAACACGGAGTTCTTCCTCAAGCTCCACGATTTTGCTAGAAAATAAAACAAAACAATCAATTTCTACTGAAACATTGTCATATATTTTCTTTCAAAGATTACTATTTTTTTTATCAATTAACTTGTCTACACTTTTTTGTCTATAATTTTTATTATTCCTTAGCTTCAAAATACTTTATTTAAATTGATTAAATTTATATAACTTTACTTACATCATATTTCTTTTTTTTATTACATAATTTCATAATACTTAATAATTTTCTTTTTAATTACTTTAAGTTTATATTTGACTACTAAATAAATATGTAGATAATTAAAAAAAAAGCGTGCAAATTAACAACAAAAACATATGGCTATACTACTTTCATATTATCTCTATATTTTAGTTTGATGTGTCAAGAACGTAGTATTGCCATGATTTATACATGCATAAATTAAAAGATTATTTGTTAATTTCTTAAACGTAAATTTTAAAACAATTTTATGATCACATTCACTTAAATTTGTTTTAAAATTTAAAAGGTAAATTATTAAATTATTTTTTAGCATAAAGGATAATAACGACTGAACAACTTTCTTTTGAAAAGACCTTTTATAAGAAAAAAGATCATAAGTCCATAATACATCTATATTTTCCACTGTTGCCTTTTTTCAAACAGCCTATATATCTAATTGAAAAATCAATATACCATTTTTCGAACATCCTGTATGTCTGAGAAGTAGATCAGCCGTTACAATCCTGGTGTACTCACCAGTCGCTCTGCTCAGCGCGTTCCTCTGCCCTCTCGAGATCCTGCTCCATGAGGACCAGCTTACGCGCCACCTACCGCCGCCGAGCGTTAGTACACGCCCACACGCACACGCACACACACACAACACACACTACCGCGACCGCCACTCGCCACTCCCCGCGGCGTGCCAATATTGTGCTCTGTGCCGTCGGAGTAAGGTACAAAATCAATCGGCATCGGTTTACTATCGTGCTTAGGATGGGTTAGGAACGTGATAGGTAACATAAAAAGTATAAGGGCTTAAACTACAGGATAAAATACTAAATATGAAGTCATATCTAAGGTTGTGCGAAGGATTTCTGCTCGTGGAAGGTAAAGCAAAGGATCACACAAAGCGGGTAGTCGCGAGTGGCGTTCGAACTCGATTGTAAGTAAATAATAAACGAGGGTTGTCCCAAAACATTTAGCTCTAAAAAAAATTCGTATCAGTATTTTAAAATATTATCTAAGTGCTATCTAGTGCGTCAACATTTTCGTTATGTGATGTGTGCGCTTGCATATGTGCGGCACGCATACGGCCAGTAATTCTGGTGTAATGCGGTGCATATCTGAAAACGAAAATTGCCCTATACCACACATATCTCGAGACCTAACCTAGCCACGTCCGATCAACACACATTTAGGACAGAAGTCGAAACATTGAAATGATAGTAACATAAGAAAATATCCATGAGATGGGGCAACCCTTGTTTTTAGTTGTCGACGGCACAAAGAGGCTTGCGGGTCGCGGACACCGCATGCGACCTTGTCCCGCTTCAAATTAAAGTTATGCAAGTTAACAAAATATCAACAGGCACGAGGCAATAAAGTAGTAATGCAAAAATAATTTAAACAAAATTAAAAATAAAAAAAATTCTCGTTCGCTGCATCCATCTCGTAGACAACCTAAAATTTACATGCAAACAAAGAATAACCAAAAACGGAGTTACCCAATTTAGGTAAAACGGGTTAAGTGCGAATGTTAAAAATATAAAACGAACAACCATGCAGTGGCAGAAATATTTGCACAACAAAGGCTCCAAGATCTACAACGTTACAATACCACATTCATTCAAAATCCTTCAAATAGAATAAAATATTTTTAAACATTTAAATAGAATAAGAATCGTAAGAACTCAACACAGACTGTATTTTACAACAGTGAGGTCATATTAAAAAGATTAAATAAATTTCAATCAAAAAAATATTATTCTAAATGAGATAATGAATGTGAGACGTTGAGATCTGTTGGCAAAGGCAAGGAAACCTACGATTCACCGGCCTCGGCGCGCTCCTCCGCACGCTCCAGGTCCGCCTCGACCATGGCCAGCTTACGAGCCACCTGGACACATACACAATGTCACAAATCGGCACAATAATCGTACAGACATACAGATACTTGTGCAACGCCCTTCATATATGGCCGTAAGGCTTATGTAATGCGCAGGGCACTCGTTCTACCTTATAAGGCGAAGAAACTCAAGATCAGGCGCGATACCATTCCTTCTTCGGCAGTTGACTTTTACGTGCGCCTTCACCGCGCAGGGTCATACGTCAGGGGAATTGGGACAGTGCGGTACCATCTGGCGACTGCACATGTTAGTGAGTTTTTTTTTAAATTACCTCCTCACCTCGAATACGAATAAGGAATGATGTTATCGTGTACCGTATATCGCGAACGACGATAACTTATCACTTGTTTAAAGAATTATGAATTATACAATCGTCACAAAAGACACAGCATGCTGGATATGAAGGCTATAGGTATTAAATGCATTATAATTTGAGGTATACTTAACAGGTTTATTAGTTAAACTTTTCATACATAAAACAAAAACGGTTATTAAAATTAGGAATCTTTGCTGACAATGGAAAAGGATTTAAACACAAGAAATGTGTAAGAACTTGTAAGAGAACAAAGTTCGAATATTATTGGAGCGAGCAAACTTCTTTATCTCAGGATAATATTTATACTGTCCACAGATAATGGAAAAAATGATGTTTCCAATCAAAAGATCATTTGTAGTAATTGCGTAGTTAAAAAGCGGCAGTAGGGGGGAAGCAAACCAAACGACATCTCAACTCAAAGACCTCATCGTATTTCTTATCTGCTTCCTCAGCGAGGAACCTGGCCTCCTTCAGCTGGTTCTCCAGGGCATCCATACGCTCCTCATCGGCCAACGACCTGTTCTCCAGAACCTTGCGGGCACTGAACGCCATAACACAAAACTTGAGTACATCATGTCATATTACGCCTACAAACTATTAAAATCAAGGGTAACCCATAAGTTGGAAGACATGCAACAACACTGCAAGATACATATAAAGCGAACAAACAATTCGACGAATTCGGCTGCAAGAAATATATTGAACCCAGCATTAAGTGCCAGTTACTTTCTGCCAAAAAAAAACAAGTAAAACATATCGTTGTCTCCCTCATTCTATTTGAAAGAACAGAGACAAAAAATATGTTTTGGTATATTACGGCAGTGTACACACTTAAAGCAGAGTCCTTATTAGCTTATTATAATCGTGTAATATTTCAGTGTTAAATATCGATAATTAATTAAATTTTATGGAATATTTCACTGAAACATTAACGAAGCCATTAAGTTTATGATGATAAAAATTATTGTGGTATATCGTGTCATTATAATATGATTATTATTCAATAAATTGTTTTAAATCATTTAACATTTGTAAAACAAGTATTTATCTTCACAAAAAAATATACTATTAGAAATTTAGATAACGATTGAAATGTATTTTTAATTGTATTTTTTTTTAGCGAAATCTCTAAATTTTTCTCAAGTAAAACCACAAAATCTAGTTTGGGTACTTATTACATTTCCATAGAAAGGTGTAATGACTTTTGCTCAACATTTTTAAGTCTTCGAATACTCGCATTACAAATTAAGAACGTATCGACTTACTTGCATCGATTTCTCGCATTATCGCCTTCTGTGCTCCTTTTAAATGTCACTTACAAAACTTTCGTATTTATTTAAAAAAAAGTGACATGTCAAGGAGATTTACGTAACGTCAACAGAATGGTGCATAATATAATGACACGTCAACCAATTTAATTAAATGTTTAAGCTTTCACCTCTTCGTATTTCTTATCCGATTCCTCGGCGATGAGTTTCGCTTGAGACAGCTGGGCTTCCAAGATGGCGACGCGATCGTCCTCCATGTTGGTTCTGTTCTCCAACGCCTTGCGTATTCTGGTTAGTGCGGGGCCAAACACATGCATGTTATAACATCGATAGACAAGTAAGTATGATCTAGTGGTTACTCCCAAACTTTTCCAAATAGACCCCCTTTAATACCCCTTGGGGGTCCATTAAATATCCGACGGGGTGCACAATGACAGAAAACAAATAAAGTTTACAAATTCAAGAAATGTAAGGGTCTTAAAAATTTTAATTTTTTTAAGAGGTCCACGACAAAAGTTTGGGAATCACCGTTCCAGTGAGTTTATTTGTATTTGATGATATGAAAGATAGAAACACATTTTAAATTACTTTTTCGTATAAAAATTAATTAGATCCACTAAAATCTTATTTATATATAATTTAAGGATTTTTAAAGATATCACAGCAAAAGATAAAAAACACAAAACACACATGCACATGTAGATATTGAAATTTTAAATCACTTTGAATTCTTAGCAGTAAAATTGTGCCAAATGTCAAAATCAGTATTGTTCCAAATTAAACATGTAAATAGCAACATACTGATTATAAACTGGTTATAAACTGCTTAAAATTCTTTACGTAAATTTACGATTTCAACACATAACAGTATTATATACAAAGTAACTCTAATCAAATTAAATTTTCTTAATAAAAACAAGATATGCTAATAAATGTCAAGACAAGCTTTAAAAACTTTTATAATATCGAAATACAAAATTCTACATATCCCTATTGCTCATTATTTAACGAAAAAAGGAAAAACCTTACTTATAATATAAGAAAATAATATACGAGTATATATTCGGTTTTTTCTTATTTTTGAGGGTCTATGAATTTTACAAGTTTTTTTACGTAAAATTTCTGTGTGGCTACTTGGAGATTGGTATATAGCTACATTATTCCGAGATGTGTCAAGATAAAATGGTTGTGGCTCACCGTTCGGACTCATCTGCAGCCTGGCTGGCCTCAGCCAATTTAGCTGTGGCTGTCGCGAGACGCTCTTCTGACCTTTCAAGGTCTTCTTCCAAGAGTTGGATACGACGGTTGAGTGCAGCCACTTCGGATTCGGCCTGAGGAAGAAAATATTGAACATTAACTTTGACCTTAGCTGTATATCGCTTTATATAAAAAGTATTTTTACTTTCTTACGCTTTAAAACTTAAATTCAGATGATTTTTAAAAAGTAACTCTTGACCTCTTTTATCGTAGAATTATCGGACGCTTTTCACCTGTCCTTATCTCATGTAGGTACCTATTCTGACCTACTTTAATACTTTTACAGATTCGTTTCATATAACATAAAGATTGGCTAGACGGTGAACCGCGAACCGTTTGAAAAAATATTTTTACGAAAATAAAATTCCAATTGCCCATCATACGAACATCCCTAGTCAATAGTGACGAACCTATTCCTTTTTCGATAAAATTAATACGCACGATAAAAAAAAGTCGACTTAATTGCTTCTGTTCTTGGACGTCATGTATATGTAAGTACATTGGAACCGCATTGTTAAATGTCGACACATTATACGTGCCGTGAATTAAGAGGCGATTGGAATATTTTCGCTAGTGTAGTGCCGCGGGCGAACTTTATTTATATTCTGTGGCCCGCACATGTCTATATGACGTCATGCGTCCTTGTTGCGAGGATGTTCTCAAACGAGTCCCAGTTTCTACATTTATCCTGTGTCGTCATGAGCAGACGAGCGTAGTCGCTAATAATAGTGACTAGCATCAGGCATTTATAGAATACTTATAGGTTTGATATAAGCTATCTATGGTTCAATTAATTTTAAATGTGGATTTTGATTGTCTAATTCCTCTTATTGGAAGACTGATAAATTCTTTCTTGTTTTGTGGTACAAACATATCACTTTTAATTAATAATGCAACACAACTTGAGACCATGATAACAGATTTTACAAGCATCCTGTACTCTACAGGGTAAAATAGTTAGCGAAACTTTTGTGCTTCAAATAAAAGTATTTATTCCGACAGTAATTTTCAACTGTTCACTACTATCAAAATTTAAAAATATTATGGGTGCAGCTAGCTAAAAAAAAGACTAAGCCCTACAAATACTAGAACCTTTTGTCTTTGACTAAAGCAAGATACACAAGCAATTTGGTGAAAGACCTGTAACATGATGACCGTGTACATTCAAAGAATTCACATTTTAATAGATGTATTAAAGAAAGCATCAATTTATATGATTGTATATTTTTCCACCGTAAATTGTATGTTAACACGGAATGATTACATTATTTCTAATTTTTTACCGGGTACAAAAAATCAATATTTAAACATTTTTACAGAAATAGTGCAATTTTTTATTTACGTCCCCAATATTCAATGAATACTAAAATCATTTTATTACCATTTGCCTTTTACTATTATTTCTCTTTCACATGGTAAAAATATTTGTGGTTAATGTCTGAGAACTATATTAGAAGAATTACTACTATCCGTTACTTGCTTTTTATTATTTACTTAATTATCCTATTGTTTATTTATTATTTTCAATGATAAAACTATTTAACTTATTGAAAAAATTAATACTCAAATTGCATTTAATATTAACATGGCATTGCAATGCAAAATGATAATTTTTTTTTTATTTTTGCTTCAGTTTTAATTTTTCGCGCTGTATACATTTAATCTTATCTTTAATTTGATATGAAATCATTTCATTAAAAGATTGTTCAATATTAAGTCATAATTTTACACTTAAATTAACAAATTTAGGTATAAAAAATGAAATAAATACATTTTTATAGAAACAAATTATTGTTTCTATAAAAATGTTAGATACATTAAAGAATAATAAATAAAATAAATGTTAGTAAAAAATATTAAATAGTGCAATTAGCCCTTATGCATTACGTCATAATGTGATAACAAGGATTTCGGACACGCCTTCCTGGCGCCGGCGCGGTCCTAGAAAAATGAAGGTTTTTTGGTCTGCACGGACTCAAGTCATGGCTAACCTCGATGACACGCGACTCTTTACACCCAAAACCTGTTACGTAGATTAAATTTTCCGAAAATATGTCGTCATATATTTAATCCGATTAACCTAACTTTAAGATTCGGTAAAAAAAATCAGATCAGAAACAGTAATCTTGTTCGATATCAATAGTCTATGGTGAGAATGAGTTAACCACGAAAAATAATGACTCGCTTTTTCACTCTAACACGTTTAGAACATCTATATTAGAAAGAGAGGTAAATATGCGTACGTCGAAGGCACACCTAAGTATGGCCGGACATTACTCACTATATTATAGGTAGATAGCAACATGCCAAGAACTACTGATATCTTCCAGATTCCGACAAAATGTGAATTTAACACGTAAGAACATAAATAATTTCACAGAACACAACACAAACTAAAGACACGTTTTCTTACTTCTTCTCTTCGCATTATTTCCACTTGTAATCGTTTGTGGTACTCCTCGCACTCGTCCTTATATTTTTCCATTTCCTCTTTTGTTTGTCTCATCTTCTTTTTTAAAACGTCCAGAATGGTACCTTGCTGCATGTTTGTGGTCATTTTTATTCACTTGTGTATTTAATTCAATGCCTAAAAGTTAAAACTAAAGACACCTTCGCCCTACTTGCGAAAATGCCAACTGATTGCCCCGTTCGTTACAGCTCCGTATCGCGGAGATAGCTGAGCACGAATGAACACTGCCGGCAAATAAAATGGCCGCCGTCAACCTAGACGATGCAACTTTATCACCACTTCCACTAATGACGCTCACTTTACTGCGATAGCTTTTCAAGATAATTGTAAAGACTCATTTACGAAAATATAAATTAGTTATACGATTTAATTCATTAGACAACGTGACCGCTTTGACAACAGAATATGTTCGAATGGTAAACGTCACTACGGCAGCACTAGCACTGCGTTTACGTCACACTAGCCATCCATAATCATACTAGCTCCACCTGTTAACGGTTGAAGTAAGCTACATCCTGTAGGGTCAACTCAAAAGAGATGATTTCAAAGCAATGCATAAAATATTATGGGATTGGCACCACGGTTCAACGATCTTGCACCCATTGAAATTGTAAGGCCGGAAGCTAAAAACCGGTTAATACAATAGGGATAACTTCTAAAACCATTATACCAAACAGCGAAACCCTTTTTCAATTTATCAAAACCTGTATTTAAGCCGAATATGTACTGACCTAAATTAACAGATCACATATTAGTTGATTATATTGGAAAATAAAATTTGCGAGTTAGTAACTTTAAATAAATTTTAACGCCATCTGCCGTCGCTTTGCGTAACAAATTAAAAAATGTGACAAGTCATTACGAACGAGTACTATTGGACGAAAACCGAACAGCGAATTAATGCACAAACAGTACAGGCAATCGAAATTCGTATGACGTAATTTAGAAAGTATGCGCCTGTTTTAATTCCGTTAAATGAACACATAGACACTGCAAAAAATTGAGGTAACGGAATGTCCAAATAAATTTCCATTTGTTATTTAAGCTAGGCAAACATTCGATATACCGTTTCAGTTTGACAAACATTAACACATACTAAAGTGCAGCCACGCAGCAATACGTACAGGATACGTTAATTATTTATATCACCTTGAGATAACAGTATCCAAGCAACATTCTTGTTTTAAAGCTGATCATCACCAATATTGAAATATAGATTAAAATTTTATCTCAAAAATGTACATTAGTATTGAAACATACTGCTGTCTCTTTTTTCTCAAAAAGAGTTAGAGGGAGACCAATATACACTTTTTTCATGTGATTCGAAAGTTGAAACAGTTAATGAGACCTCCTAAGTTTTTTTCATGAAACTGGCAATAAAATTTGAATAATGCCATTATAAAAAAAAATGTTACAAGGTATGCCATTGTTAAACTGTAAAGATTATACACAAAAAGAAGATAATAGTATATATTCTTAAGTAGCTGTTATAACTTTTAAATACAGTTAAAACAAAATGACAATCGGCAAACATACCATAACTTTTTTTTAAAGTTTCCTATTGTTCGGAAGAAAATCCGACACTGTGTCAGTGTTCTGTGCAATAAATGTCTGAAAGAATTAGTTAAAAAATATTTTGACAACAGCAGTAGATGCTTTGCATATAGTGTACACATACTATTATTGCAAGAAATTAGTGATTAAGTGACCCATTTCCTCTAAAACTTTTCATATAATAGAAGATAACAAACAAGTTTAGTGAATTCGGTGATTCCAAAAGGTTATACATGCATTGCCTATCTTTATTACGAAACAATACAGTGATTTTTACTAAAAATATCAAAGTGAGAAATATTTATTCGGCACTTCTAAGGCTGAGCTACCATGAATGACTACACAGTGAGTATTTTATAATCAACTTATAGTAATTTATAAACACTTAATAACATGTAGTAATCTTATTTCTTAGGTCTTCATCAGTTGTAGGATTTCAGTTTAAATACTGTAGTTTATTGAAATAGTTATTCTTAAACATACCTTTAGGGAAACATTGTAAAGTTCTAACTGAATTTTATTCTTCCTTTACAAGTATAATTGTTTCATGATATATTTTTTATATGTATTTACAACTAAAAACATCAAAGAGATGGGGAATATTCGTCTATTTATAGTAGTAGGTTGTTAAAGAGCCAATGGCCCCCTGAATGTACTACAATAGGGTGGTGATCTCTGTGTTTAAAAATTAAATTATTTTGAATGTCACTTTAACAGACAGTTATATTTACTATAAACCCATGATTGTATAATTTAAAAAGAAGTTTGATGGAAACATATCAGTTTGGGCTCAAGCATATTTTTAATCTATTTCTTAATCACCGAGGAATCCATCCCCGCTTTAATTGTATTTATACTACTCTAGTAATGTTCAATACTAATCTGCTAGACCAATTAGAACTAAAGATTATAGTTATATTATTAATTGGAATTATATTTTATTTTCTTAAGTTTGTGGATAAATCTTCGTTTTATTTAAGTTACTTTGATGTAGGAGTGTAATTTGTTTATTTAAGCAATTTAATGATCATATTCATTGTATACTCGACGCAATACATTTTGTGAAAACTGCTGACCTAAATAATTTGGACCAGTAATGCTGACGTTATCATCAACTTAGATATTTCTTAGACAAACACTCAAGATATCTCTCGATCGTACGACAAACATTGTCATTAGAACACAATGTTTTAAAAATTAATGTTTAAACATCGGTGTAAAATTGCCAATAAACCATATAATTGTATTTTTTTTAAATAAAACAACATTTTAAATGGTTTTAGACAAGTTTAAAGTGTTTCCGATCTTTGCGACATCTAGCGCCACAGGGACCAATCATGCGCGTAAACAAGTCAAACGAAATGTCAGTGGCTCAGCTGATCGGCACGCGCGTAACATGCCTCGCATCTATAGACCAGCAATACTTTTCACGATTAAAAATAGTTATGAGCACATTTGGCCGACTCTCACCCACTCACACTAATACAAAGCTTAAATATTGAGGTACATTACCCTTTTCAATGCCGTATTCTTTATATTCTGCAACTCATTTTTAATTATCGAGAATTTCATCATTGTATCTGAAGAAAATATGGAACTCCCGAAAGCGAGACCAGGATAATCGGCGCATCTCCTTCTGCGACGGTTTTCTCTAGCCGCCAAGACTTCTGTACATTCACTTGTACATCTAAGTTTTGCAAGTTCCGCGGTTTCTGGATCATCATCCGAAATATCGGACGCAATTACAGTCATTTCGGCTCCGTCACCCGCGGACCTTTCTTCCTTAAACGAAAATTCATCATCCGAGCTTCCATTCGATTCTGCACCAATAATTCTAACATCAAACTCAATCTCATCATCAATATTCGAGTCCTCGATTGTATTTCGATTCGAAAGTGCGTCGTCACTATTCGTCCTTGTCAGTTCTTGAGATTCACTAACACTATTGACACAAGGCACAACATCGTCTATTTGAGTGTCTAAGGTCACTTGTTTGGACGGAGTCGTGTTTGTGGAGGCCCCGGGGGCGGGTACGCGGTCGCCCCTCAACCGCGGGTGGTGTTGGTGCCCCCTGCGCCGCACGGGGGTGCGCCCGTGGGCGTGGGGCGCGGACGCGGACATCACTGCACACCGCACGATCCGTCCGGCCGCGCAGCGCCGGCGGCCATGTTGACTGACTATCGTTTTCGTTCGTAAACAATAACGTGGCGCTGCAGTCGCTGATTGTCCGCCATGTTGGATTAAGTCACTGACAGCGACTGTTTTATCGACAAAGCAGCATTTAAGTTGCTGATAAAACGCGCGATTATTTAAATGATGTTTAACTTTCACAGGCGTAATACTTTTTCTAATTGCGATTTAAAATTTCAATAAATCTTCCTAAAATAGTAATTTAAATTCAGATATTAAAAATGTCAATTTATAAAAATGTGACAGCACAAGAGTATTGAATTGTTGTAAATTATTTATAATGATATTAATTAAACAAAACGCGTCTAACGTTACTCGATTGTCGATGAGGTGAGCAACATTCTAATTTTATCGAAACACTGGGCAACGGTCCCATATTAGGCGGGGATCGCTGAAAATAACCGCGGCGCGCACACGAGGTGGACGCAGCACCCCCTGGAGCGTACGGTTCCAGATGTTAGAGGAAAATTACAGGAAGTTTAATAAGATTTAACCTTATCTATTAAGTTCATAGGAATATTGTAGTTTAAAAAAATAAATTGTTTTCATTACATTTGTAAATTGCAACACAGTGGTCCTGTAATTTTTACGATTTTGTCTTATCTGATTATATACAATAAATAATATTAAGCTACTTACGTTCTGTAGGGCCTTCTCCTTCTCTTCGAGCTTGGCGTTGACCTGCATAAGACCTTCCTGTGTCTGGTCGAGGTCGTTTTCAATGGTCTGGATCTTTTTCTGGAGCTGTCTGGCCTCCTCTTCAGCCTACATTAGAAAAAAAATGATGTTTACTTGAAACCTATTTCCTTTAAACGCGAGTTTTCATTACTTTGTTTTTAAATGAAAGTTTCAGAATGGACAATCAGTAAATTCTTAATAATTAATACGTTCAATTTGGATCAAAACACCTACATTTATATTATGCTACATTTCTTGAACGCTATTCATGAACATTATTTTCTCATCTCAACATATAACTGCGTTTGCAGTTGCAATAAAAAGTCATTGAATGTCCGCGATATAAACACGGAACGCAAATGGAATGCAAAATAAGTTTCTAGACCATAGCCAGACCGCTGAATCAAACTTGTTCCGCAACATTTTAACATCTACAAAGCTATACAATCTTACTAATATTATAAATGCGAATGTTTGGATGGATGGATGTTTGTTACAATTTATCTTCAGAACGGCTTAACGGGTCTTGATGTTTGGCATAGATGTAGAGCATAGTCTGGAAGGATAGGCTACTAAATTTTTTTTTTATTCTGCGCGAACGAAATTGCTTGCTACAACTAGTAGTTTATATTGTTATAGAATACAACCGCCGCTTATGTTAACTTTAAAAACATATTAGGAATGGGTTCGAGCTTTAAACGCTTAAAGTGTATCAAAAGAAGTTGTCTTTTATTTAAACTGAGGCTAAATAAGTCATGTTGTTGTATGGACAACAACTGTATACTTTTAAAATATTTTATCGTTATCTAAAAAAAACGATACATTATCTCGTTTGTTTCATTTCCTGATTATTCCATTTTTAATTGTTTATAATATTTATCAAACGGTCGCCCACGACTCCACGCGCGGAAATAAAAAAAAAACTTAATTAGTATTCTATTTGTTCTTCCGGACTATGTTTTACACCAATGTCAAATTTCAGCTACATCCATGCAGCCGCTCTGGAGATACTTTCAAACAAACATCCATTCATCTAATCAAACAACACAAACAAGTGCGAATTGAAAAAAAAATCATAAATTTCTAGATATCGCTACTAAAAATGTTATCAGTATCATTAATCCGATATCATATTAATTTTGTATCGATTGCGCCGTATAAATATTATATCTTACAATTCAATCTTAGTATCATATAGTATAACTTTGGCAGTGACTATAAAATTGCCGAAATATTTTCAAAAGAAATTTGCTTAGTCTCTGGATTTTCCTAGACAATTTACAAATGAGTGCTATTTACAATTTTTCGGTGACATACATGAAAGTAATGAGATTCAATTTGTAGTTCAAGGTTGAGGTAGATCGAAAGAATTATGGATGGATTGTATGAAAGAGGATATGCATCCAAGGGAGTAAATTCAGATATATCAGCTAATAGAGATGTACGGAGTACGTACAGAGGAAAGTATAGGATAAGCTATCTTATCTTACTAATATTCAAATGGATGGATGAATATTCATCAGATGGTATCTCTAGAATTGCTCCATGGATCTCCCTGAAGTATGGCATAGATGTAGACCATCGGGAAGAACACACAGCTACTAATTAAGTTTTCTCTAAACCCGCGCGGACGGAGTCGCGGGCAAAAGCTTATAAGTGCATACCTTCTCAGCACGAAGGTTGGCGTCCTTGGCCTCCTGCTCGCACATCGCTGCGCGGTCCAAGGCATTGTCCTTCTCCAGCTTCATCGCCTGCATCTTCTTCTTGATCGCGTCCATGGTGGCGGCTTTGTTTTATCACTTTCCTAGACGTAACGCTGCAAACAATAAACCGACATTCAATAAATGTCACACGACTCGTCTGAATTTAGTCAAAGCTCTTTTCACTAAACTCGTGACTCTAACCCAATGGTATTTGTGTCGTGGTCGAACCAGTGTAAATTGTCCCTTATTTTATCTTAGTGAGTAAGGGTCTAATTTCCACTCTCAAAGTCATTAATTGGTTACTAAACGAGAACTTAGTAAATTTAGTACGAGCAATACACACTAAAGTGTGACAGTTAGACGTCATTTTCATAGAGATAAATTCATAGTAATAAAATTAAACAAATATTTTATCAGGTTGATTAATTATATCTATGAGGAATGTGTAAACATTTATTTAATTAATAAATTACTTATTAAAGCATCAGTATGTAAATTTATTTTTAAAATTTAACAGCTTTTAAAACTAGCATTAATATACCAATTAATTATGAAAAATCCTAGAAAAATGACATCAAACTTTGTAGACAGTGTACAATCAAATAGTCAATACAGCATCTAGCTATTTGCGTCGAGAGTGCATTGATCTTACAGCCGCTAGATGAGTTAGGCTACGTAGCAACGCAGAGAATAACTTACGCTTTTTACAAACATTTAAAGAACTAAGGCAAAAAAAGAATATGTGCGTAACAAACTACAACGCAATAACGATAAAGTCACATAAAATCTAAGAATTTAAATGCAAAGAATCAATTCGAATTGCCTAAAAATAACCTTCTTAACCTCTTAAATCTATCAATCAATCTAAATTTAATGAAAATAAAAGTGTGTCGTTACGTTGGTAATAATCTTTTAAAAATGGAACAATAATACAAGTACTTATTAATTTTACCAACAGCCATAAAACCAGCCAGTTGGTTCTATGTCTATAAATTAGACCTGATATTCATTCTATAAAATAAAATTCCCGTGAACTTTTTTTGCATTGTTCAAAAGTTTATGTCCAAGAATAAAAGAATGCTGAATACGGAACGTTTTTTTAAATGAGATGGCAATGTTATTGACCTTCCATTGAGAAATTACGACCTAAAATTCTACCTGCAAGCCAATACGTTTGTGGTGTTGCGGAACAACCAGTATATGTTTACATACGTATAATGTGTGCACTCAAGCAAATAAACTTATTTACACGCATAAGTTACACCTTGATGATCATATGATAATAATTTTTATACTGGCATTCCATAAAATACATTGTCAAAAAATTAAAAAAAAAACTCGTGCCGAAAAAAAAGTTGCCGGGCAATCTCATTGTTTGTACAATTATGTCAAAATTATTTATCTGTGGTAACTGAAATGAATTTTATTGAATGTTTAATTTTATATTTACTAGACAAAATGTAAATGGATTTTGCATTCAGTTTTTAATAATTTGATGTGAAGTATTTAAGTTATTAGCAATCTGAATTGAATCGTAGTCCATAAATTACTCATGCCTTAAGTAGGTTATGTTGGGTTGTGATTCAAAAGAAAAGCATGTTACCGTGAGTCATGTTTCGCAAAAATGTGCAAAAAGCATACAAAAGGTGATGACCGGGCGTCCGTCGGTCAGACATTCTTAAGGAACTAAGTACTATGCCCTTTGACAATGGCGCGAAAATGACTTAATAAGTTTAGAAATCATCTTTTTTATGATTTTAAATGATTGACAATTGACTGTCGAAATACTTGTGTTATAATATTCCCATAGCGCTTTATAATACAAGAGATAATAACAAAGTTTGTAGTCATATGTTTAAGGGACATGTTCCAAAATTGTAATTCAAACTCATTCTTAAGAAACCTTTTTTTTTTCTTAAAGAAAACTTTTACCAAAACATATCTGGACAATGTTATACCAAGTGAGTGTTGTAAAGCGAATAGAAAATGAGACAGGTCTTAAAAATTGTAACGCAGCCTTATATTGTCAGTTGTAATTATGAAGAAAGGGGATGGAAGTACAAAAGGGCAAACAAAAGCAGGGGACGGGAAAAGGAGCCCGCTTCTCATTCAACAGATGCAACTCACAAACATTAAACATACTGTATTATGTAATATTTAGTAGCTTTTTAACATATATGTATAAAGATTTCTACAATCCTTGTTAGTCTATAAAGAATTTCATTATCTCGACTTGCATCTTAGTAACGTTCTTGTAATCTTTTATCTTGGCAACAACAAAGGCTGTATAAAATGATAGAGGTAGTAATGACTAACTTATTTGCAATGTTACTTCGTAATGTGCAAATTCAAATGCATGTATCTTCTCATTGTAAAATGTTCCTACTACAGTTCATTTTATCATCTACACAATAGCATTTGCTAGAGCGATCGTATCAAATTACTTATACGCCTTTCATGTATTTTTTTTTTTAATATTATAAAACTAATTCCCTTAGCAAAGGGCTTTCTGGTTGAGATAAAACGACAACTCAAAATATTCAATGAATTTTCAGCAATAAAAGAAATTATTACTAT